TTGTGAATGGTGTCTTAGTGTTCGATAATGGAGTTTTTGATGAATCAATCAAAGGCCAAAGGCTGTTATTCGAACGAGAAGGCCTCGAGTAAGAATAAAGATCAAGTGTTCGAAGTTCTTCAAACATGTGAATATACATCATTTCGTTTTATTAATCACCAACAGCATAAGCCTCTTCGTTCAACTTTCTTTGCCTTCTGTGAGAGTGTTGCACCCATTTCCAATCGACAATTCGCTTGTCATTGTACAAGATATTTCCATCATAGTCAGGATTTACAATAACATGAGTGATGTCATCCCTTCTTTCAGAAAAATCATCTGCAATTTCTCCACCATAAGCAATGATGTACCTCCTCAATTCTCTTTGATTCTTAACTGCTGGATCAAAATAAACAATACATCCCTCAAAGAATGAAGGCAATGCAGCTTGAGGTCCTTCAAGATCCACATCGGCAACTATGGGTTTGTTTGACAAGTTCAAGTTAATGTACTGCAGCATTTTGTTTTTCAAATGATCGATGCTGTTGATCAGTTCTTCCTTGTTTGTTTCATCGTCGTCCATTGCCAACTTTGCGATACTTCTCAAAAATTTAGGGCTAGGTGTGTTTAGTGACCATTGCTCAAAAAAGGCCATAATATCACCTTCTCTGGTACATGAAATTGCTGCTCCAAAAATGTCTTCTCTTATAAAATCAGCAAAGGATTTTTTCATGTTTGGAGAGTCATCAAAGAACTTTTTAAATCTCAAAAGTTCTTGTTCTTCTGATGAAGATAGGTCACACTTGTTGACCAACGTCGTAGTTGGTGGCGAGAGAGAAGTTGCTGTTGTTGCTTGTGTTGGTGGTGCCTCACTTTTCTCGTTCGTTATCGATGGTGATGATGTCGTTGGTGGCTTGTCATTTGGCAAGGCAGCACTGGCAGATGTTGTAACATTCTTAGACGATACATCAGTTTGAGAGTTATCTTTCGAAGAATCATGAACCACCTTTTCTGGTTTTTTGTCATTCTTAGGTTTGCTTTCGTTTTTCTTTTCTGGCTTTTGTTCTGGTTTTCGAGACACTTTTTTCTTTTTTCGTTTTGGGACGTATTCACCATCTTCTGCTTCCATATCTTTTTCAGAACTGTCTTCACTTAATTCAAAGTCAATGTCAGATCCTAGTGACGCTTCTGCCTCTTCATCATCACTTAGCGAATCATCTTTTTTCAATGAGTACTTTTTTTCGTTCATTCGCCTTAATTTCGAGTAACAGTCATAAACCCACTCTTTGGTGACAATTTTTGACCCTTGCTTTTGTGCTTCACGACCCTTATCAGAAACAAACGCAGCAACTTTAGATATTGTCGATTCATTACCAAAAAATTGTCAAACAATAACTCACCTAAGTGTGTAGTGTCTGAGGTAACATTTGGTCTATAACTGGCTCCCATTTCAAGTGCCTTCTCTCTTATAGTAGCTCTTTCTGGATTTTGAATACCACTGATTGCAATCACACAACCAACAAGAACGTTCTCTTTGGAAGTTACTGGCCCGTCTTTAAGATTCCGCTTGTCCTTAATTGTTGTCTTGTTACTCACCACAAAACCTGCTAGATTACCATTTTCGTCAGCATCGCTAGCATCGTCTATCATTTTATCTTCATCATCTGTATTGGATGGATCTGAAGAATATTTCTTTTTCCTTGTTGTAGTCTTTTTTCTTGTGGTTGGTTTCTTTTTGTCAGCTTTTTTTTGGTCTTTCTCACTATCTGACTTATCACTTTCATCTAAACCAGCAATTGATTTAAACTTGATAGGTTTCTTCTTGGACTCTTCTTTCTTTCTTGTTCGTTTTTTTGAAGTGTCAGTTTTCTCAGAACTGTCATCAATGTCATTAGTTTGGGATGATGATTTTGTAGGTTTAGCAGTAATACCACTTGGCAATGTTCTTTTCTTTACCTCTGTTGAAGAAACACTTAATTTTGCACTCGGTAAATTTGGCTTGATATCTAAAGAGGGGGAGGCCGAGAGTTTTGTGTGGGCCATCTTCCTTGCTTGCTCAAATTTCTCTTGAGGATTTTCGTCTTTTACATCATCGTCATCAGAAAGTAATGGAATATCTAATGTTGCTCCTTTGATGAGCGAAGTGGATGACTCTTCCATCTTGCTTGTTGTTTCAGAATCAACTTTTTCCACAGCAAAGTATGTCAAACCTAAATAGTTTCCAGAATAGGACGATGTTAATTTTATGCGAATTTTCTTCCATCCTTTAAATCCCTTCTCGTCTTGTCTCATCAGTGCGGACCTATAGAGAGATTTAGAATTGAAAATATGAAGATCTGTAAATTTAGATTTGGTCTTCAAATCTTGAAAATTCAGCATGGGTGTTGTAGGAAGTAACACAAGAGATTTACTTTCATCAAATTTCCCATTACTTTCTTCCGATACACAAACTTCAATCAAAGCTGACCCATTATTTCTTACGATCACTTTATCAATTTTAAATGTATCATCAAGAATGTCTAAATAAATAAAACAAGTTTTAGTGTCTTCTTTTGTTTGAAAACTGCTATCATCATCAAGTAGAATATTTTCGGGAGAGTGAAAGGCATCGAGTTGATCATCTTTTCTTTCCACACCCGAAAGATAAAGCCTTGCTTTAGTCATTTTGTTAAATTTTTTTTCTTTTTTTTAAAAATGAAATAACTTTCAAGGCGCGGAAATGCCTTTCCAGTAAGAGATGGAAGAGTGTGTAAATTAAGGCAAAGTTCATTCTTCGTCAAAATCCAACTCCACAACATCCTTGTTGTTATTATCCACTTGGATCGTGTGAGCAATGTCAGTTGGTGGTGATGTGAAGGCTGCTTCAGATACATCAATAATGACTTCAACGCCATCCGTTTCTTCTTCAGAAAAAACAGCCATTGGCTCATTAGGGTCTGTCACGGATGACACTTCACTTGCGCTCGAAACATCAATCTCTTCTAATTGATCCTCAAATTCTTCTTCTTCATCTAAATCTTCATCACTCCCTTCAACCACAAATCTTCTGTCTTCTTCTGTGTAATCATCATCACCTTCTTCATCTTCTTCTTCATCTGAGATGGCCAAATAGACAGCATCCTCAGAGTCAAGAGGATCAATCACCTGAGTTTGGTTATTGCTGTGATAGCTCATGCAAATATTCAATAGAAGTTTGTAGAATAATTGACCATCGATGTTTGTAGAGATTAATTTCAGTAAAAAATACACAAATACTCTTGGAGCAATATTTTGTAAGCCCAAATCTCTAATACAGCGTTCGATGAATGTGTGATGGAAAGAGCATCGTGATCGATCACTTTCACCATCATAAATGATATCCATTAAATGTTCTGCTTTGTTGTCTCCTAAAAATTGTCCTATCATTGTCAATCTCCCTCCATCCAAATATGTATCATCAATTATAAAACAATTAATGGTTGCCTTAAATTCAGCATAGTGACCAATGGTACTGAAAATGATAAAATCAAGCTTGTAAGTCTCTGCAAGTGAATTATTTTCTTCTTGTCCAAAATATAAACTGTTTGTGACAATAATGCTGTTCCTAGACTTCGTAAATCTTCTAAATTGTGTCATGACATTGTCTAGTACTGATAAATCATGTCTTGAAAAATTGGCTTCTGTCTCTTCATCACTATCATCAGTAAGATCAATAGTTCTTTGTAATAAAATATTTAAAAGTGCTCTCAAGATGTTCCTTTCATTCTTGATATCATCAACTTCTTGGATGAACTCTAGAGCTCGAAGAGAAAAGTCAACTTGTTTCTTCTGGAGGTCAAAGAACCTTGTAAATACTGCTTGAGATCCAAGACATTCAGAAAATAAAGTTGTTGCCTCATTAATATCATTCGAATGATAGGCACGTTCGACCAAGCTGTCTTGTTTTTTGAGAAATTTAGTCAAAGAGGATCCTATGGAATGTTTTAACACAAATGCATATCTTGTTTTGAATGCCAATAAAAAGTCGCATTCGTCCACTTGTTCTTTTTTCACGTTCAAATCTTCATAAAAGATTCTCTTGTACAAATCAAACCAAAAGAAGTTGTTGTTAATCAATGCATTTCTCCAATCTTTGCAAACAAGCATGATGCTTGTGAATAGCTTTCTTGGAGGTAGAAATTCACAAATTGTCATTAAACAATCCAAAGAGAATATAGAATCACGATCCTTCTTTTGTTTTTTCCAATTTTGAAATAATTCAAATTCTGCTTTTCGTTTCAATGACAACTCTTCTGCAATACAAGTTTCTAATTTGGGTACAACGGATTCGGAGCACACTGTATTTGTCATTGTTTCTAAATCACTACCATTTGTTTCTTGAGAAGAGGAAGAGCCTCCATTCTTTGCTGCTTTAACTTTCTGCTTTAATAACTTGATTTTCTTCAACAGCTTATTTTCATTATTATTGTGGATCCGATGATCACCGTTCATTGTATAAAAGAAGAGAGAAATATTCTGTGTGTGATGATCCAATGGTTCAAGTGTTGGTTGTGTCTTATTGTTTCGGAATCAACGAAGACGTGTAAAGACTTATGATGAAATTCTTCTTTAGGTTTCAATTTATTTTTTTCAAACAACAAATTTTTTTTTGCATCAAGAAAGAGTCCCAGCAGAATGGTTAATGTGAAGATTTTTCTCTTCCAACGCATGGTATTGTGAACTCTTTCCTCGACATTATTTAAAATTCAGATTCTTTGGTATCTTTGGTAGTATTTTTCAGTGTTTCATTGCCAGGAAATGCCTCAATCGATTTAAGCTCCACACTAAATGGACCCTCTTTCAGAGAACTAATTCCAACGCCGAGTGTCAAAATGTCATAAATAGGCGCAGTTGTCCCTGATTTAGCTTTTCGAATGGCACCAATCGATGTCTCTTCACCCATATTATTCACACAAAAACTTGTAAATGGAATTTCAGAAACAAGCCATTCCTCACCACTTTCTGGATCAATTTCAGTGTAAAATTTTGTATGTTGAATCTTGTAGGCGACTCCACTTTGATAATAAGTCGTATTTTCTAGAAGAGTCGATGGAACGAGTGGTGCATAAAAGAAAATGTCATCCATGAAATGATTGAATTCAAATTGGAGTTGGAAATCTTCTGGTCTGTCAGTTCGATATTTAATTTTAATTCCTCCTTCTTCATAGTCTGATAAATCTAAATGAAGAGCTGGATACTGTTTAAAAGATGAATGATTATCCACAATATTTCAATTTTTTAAATGTCAAAAATTATTTTTTAAAAAATTATTTAAATATTTCCAATCAAAATGAATTTCATCATGAGGAATCCTCGCTCGGAAACGTACCACAAACCACATTCTTGCAAAAGATGGCAATACTTTCTTTCCATTCGTGAGGGTGTATAATTGTCCTTGAAATACACAACTATTATTATTTGTCTTCACTAATTCACAATCGGATTTTCCTCCGAATATTGTATCGGTAATGAGTGTCCAAGATGAGAGATGTGTTTTTGAATTAAATTGATGTAAAGTCCTATAAGGTGTTAACATATCAAAACGAAGTGCTCTATCATAGAATTGCTTCATCCTCTGTGCGAGAGAATGTTTCAAATTGAACACCCGAGTGGTGAACGGAACTTTGTAAAGAACCATTTTTTTAAAGTGGAATTATACTTGTTATCGCAATAACAATTACAACGAAGGACAATATTCGAATGATACTTGTTGCAATAACAATTCCAAGTAATTCCAATATTCGAAGGACAATATTACACACACAAAGTATATATACTTCTTTAATGGTGATGAGCTTGACGTTTCCATAACTCGGCATAAAGACCATGTTCATGTTTGATTAATTCTTGATGTGTTCCTGATTCAGCAATAGAGCCATGACTATTAAGTACAATGATTTGATCAGCATTTTGTATGGTTGACAATCGGTGCGCAATCATGATGGTGCTTGTTTTTGAAAATAATTCCTCAATAGCTGTCATGATTTGTTTTTCAGATTTTGAATCGAGAGAGGATGTAGATTCATCACAACACAAAATCTTGGGTGCCCTTAAAATTGCTCTCGCAATAGCCGTTCTTTGTTTTTCACCGCCTGACAATTTCAAACCTCTTTCACCCACTTGTGTGTCTAGGCCTTTTGGTAGCCTTTCAATAATTTCAGTGAGATGAGCTTTATCTGCAGCCGTTTTGATTTCTTCGTCAGAACTACCTAGTCTACCATATGCAATGTTATGTTTAAGAGAATCATTAAAAAGTACACAATCTTGTGGTATGAATCCCATGATTCTTCGAAGACTTTCGAGAGAAACAGTTTTGATGTCTTGACCATTCACTAAAATTTGTCCCTCTGATGGATCATAAAATCTGAATAAGAGCTTTAAAATTGTTGATTTTCCACTTCCACTTGGGCCACAAACACCCAACGTGGTACCTGGCTTCACAACAAAGGAAACATTGTCAAGAATCTTCCTTCCTGATTCATAGGAGAAGGAAACATTTCTGAATTCTATTTCTACTCCTTCATTTTCATTAACCACTAGTTCCTTATCAGAAATATCTTGTATATTTGACTTGGTGTCAATCAGTGAGAACAAATGTTCAATGTCAGTAATTGCTTGGGTAGTTTCTCTGTACACTGTACCCAAGAAGTTAAGAGGAATAGAAAGCTGGAAAAGCAATGTGTTTACCATAACCAAGTCACCAACTGTTAAATCTCCAGTCATAATTTTGTTTGCTGTCAAATACATAATATAGGTCAATGCCAATGAGAAAATAAATGATTGTCCAAAGTTTAGAGTACTCAAACTGGTGGATGTGTGGACAGAGGCATCTGCGAATTTCTTCAAATATTCATCATATTTCTCAGCTTCATATTTCTCGTTCTGGAAATACTTCACCGTTTCATAATTTATCAACGAATCAATAACTCGACTGTTTGCGTCGTTTTCTGCCTTGTTCATTTGTTTTCTGAACTTGGTTCTCCATTGTGTAATTGCAATAGTCCATACTCCATAAAAGAATACAGCTCCCAATGCTGTCAGAGCAAAGTTTGCGCCATAGCTAAAATAAAAAATAGAGCTAACCACTGAAAGCTCGAATAGTGTTGGAACGATATTAAACAATAAGCTAGTTAGTAAAAAGTTAATTCCTCTCTTTCCTCTATCGATTATTGCACTTAAAGCTCCAGTTTTTCGTTGTAAATGAAATGTAATGTCCATATTAAGAAGATGTTCGAAAACTCTCATTGATACAATCCTAATGGATGCTTGCGTGACTTTTGAAAATACAGCACCTCTTAATTCTGTGAATAGGGAGGATAATGTTTTTGCAATACCATAGCCGATAATCATTGATATTGGCCCCATTGTAAACCAAATTGTGGGATCTTGCACTATGGTTTCTGTACTTGGCCCCAACAAATCAACAGCCTGCTTAAAGAAGAATGGAACAGCCACGTTAAATAATTTTGCTCCGATTAAAAATCCAACAGCTGCAATCACTCTTCCTCTCAAACCTGTATCTTTTGGCCACAATAGTGTTGAAACATGGGTAAGAATTTTTCTTACAGACGCTTTTTCGCTTCCTTGTTCAGAGGTTGTTACTGGAGAAATAGTTTCCGAGGATGACGATCCAGCGCTCTGATGATGAGTCTTTTTTCTCATCTGAACAGATGGTACATTTAAAAACATTTTTGTTCCCGATGATGATGAAGATGACACAAGATGATTAAACTTTAAATTCTTGTGCACCTTCCTTGATGAACTGCCACTGATAAACCCATTGCAAGCAGAATTTATACAATTGTTGTTATTCAAAAGTAAGCTTGGCATGTATTTGTTGCTGCTGTTCAAGACGGACAAAGACCCACAAGCGGATCTTTTGAGCATTTTTTGTAAATATGAAAAATGTCTTCAATTTCCTATAGAGAGAGGCAAGAAGACTTTGTTTCCGATATTACAGGCACAACTCCATTGGAAGTTTTTGGATTGAGCATGTCCGTGGTGTTGATTCCCAGTGCAGAATATTATTTGAAACGATTTTTCTTTAAAGGAAGATTCTCTCGTTTATTGCTTGAAATTATTTTCAAAGTTGTATTTTATTATGCGATTGAAACGACAATTGTTTTGAATAGATCCGTTGTTGGAAATAGCTTTTCGTTAGGACTTGTTCTGTTGTGGAGTGTAATGATTTTATTTATTGTAATATTTCAGAAAATTGACAAGCATGATGAAGGAAACATAACGCATGACGAAAATAGGAAATTAGAGAAAAGTAGCCAACATATAGAATTCATCTCAGAGTATCGTCACAGCATGCAACTTTCGACCATTATGGCAATATTGATGGTAGATTTTCAGATATTTCCAAGAAGATTGGCAAAAACAGAAAATTTTGGATACTCGTTGATGGATTTAGGAGTTGGAAGTTTCGTATTCAGCGGAGCCATTGTTTCAAGCACTGCAAGGCGAGTTGTAAATCCATCTACTCCAAGAATGACCTTTTCCAAGCTTATTCATTCTCTGTTGCCATTGACCCTTCTTGCGATCTTTCGATTTTTGTCTGTGAAAACTATGAATTATCAAACACATGTTTCAGAATATGGAGTTCATTGGAATTTTTTCACAACACTTGTATTCCTCTGTATATTGTCCTACATTACTGATGAGGTACTACACTTGACTAGCTCTTGGAAAAAAAGTTTAATAGTTGGCACGCTTTGTGCTCTTTTTCAACAATGGCTCCTCTCTGGACCTTTGAATCTTCAGCATATCATTTTAAATGGAGAACGCACAAATCTTATTTTAGCGAACAAGGAAGGGTTTGGAACTCTGCTTGGATATTTATCCATTCATCTTATTGGTGTCGGTGTGGGTCAATTCACATTCAACTATCACACTATGGCTAAACAATATTTGAAATTCTTAATTATGTTGACATTGATAACGACAATCCTATCATTTGCTCCTTTTTATGCATATGGAGGCCGATGGTTTATTGAGCCTGCATCACATATAACTGAAGAAACTTATCATTATCAGATCAACAAGGAATTCTTCGACACTAAGGATATTTTATTTACAATTTTTATGCCATCGAGACGAATGACAAACTTTGGATATATTGTTTGGTCACTCTCTTTTAACATCACTCTCCTTACTTTATTCTATTGGATGTCACAGATAACTCCTTTGAAAAACAACATATCAAGAGCCTCATATACCTCCGTTGTTAGAGATGCTATGAACTTTAATCCACTGTTTTCATTTTTATTTGCCAATCTCATCACTGGGGCAATTAATCTTTTCTTTCAAACAATAGATGCCTCAAAAATTACGTCTACAATAATTATTTTGACGTATGGATTTGTTGTTTGCTTGGTTGGAGTATTTCTGTATGATAAAAAGAGAAAGATTTTCTAATCATCAAATATCTTTGATTAAAGGACTCTCTTTTTCTTTTGTTCATCCTCCTTTGGCCCTAAATCTGCCAAACGAGGCGAATTTTGAAGCAAAGGACAATCTGTCTCAAAAGGAGTAAAGTCGTAAAATAATGTACATTCATAGTCGCATTCTTCCTCAATAACATCTTCGTTTAAATCAAATTTTTTAGTACTTCTAGCAGACATTGGATTTTCGTTGAGCTCGTCTTCTTGCTGCAACTTGATTTTTGGTCCTTCGTTTTTGGAATTATTTGCAACGTAACGTCCTGCCTGTTGATTAAACTGAAATATAGATCGAAGAGTGTTATTTAAATCTCCAGGATTGTTCCCGATCTCATTTTCAGGACTCACACCATCTTTCCAAAATACTACATTTGTTATACTACCTCCGTGCCTTTCTCGTATTTTCTGTTCAATTGTATAAAGATTCGTAGATTCCCTTACTCGGAGTTGAAAACCCATATTTTCCCAATTCATCAACCGAACTTTAACTCTCACCCACTTGTCCTCAACCTCAGCAAACACTTCGGGAGGGGGAGGAGTGTAATTTTTAGACATTTCTATCAACAATTGATCAATCTTGCTGGCTGCGTTCTTTCGAGAACCTTTTGCGGTTGATGATTTCCTCTTGGCCATTTTTTAATTTTTTTGTTTTAATTTTTTTTTTGTAAAACAAAAAAGCCGCGCAACATCCTTTCTCTCTTCAAATCATCATCAAAGACTAATTGGCCTTCTCAATTTATCATCAGCTGGTAACTAACAGCTTTGTAACCCATCCATACGAAAAGGCTGCTCAAGGAGAGGATTATACTTTTTGACATCTCCCAGTCAGTCTGCGAACCAAAAGTTGCATTTTTCCAGAAAGCACAAGAAAAAATTTAAATCAAATTTCAAAAAAAAATGAAATTTAGAGCCAACGTTATCAATCAAAAGCTCTTTCTCAACATTGTGCAATCCCTCGAGAAAGTAGACAAGACTGGCATCATTCGTTTCAGCAAATTTAAAATTCTCTTCGTATCAAAACAAACCGATGGTGAAAACGTTCAAGTGTACGGATCAGTGGTTGCACAAGCATTATTTTCGGAATTACGAATCCAGTCCAAGCTCCGAAATGAAATAGTGTTTGAAGTAACATTGAAGAATTTAGCATCAGCGTTAAAAACAGCTACTAATGCTCTTGCAACCAGTGCAAAATTAACAAAGAAGCATGATGTCGGATATTTGACTTTTGAAATTAAAACACAAGTATCGAAAAAAGAGACATCCAATGTTGTTACGATCGTACAAGATGTTCCCATTAGAGTCTTGCTACACGAAGAAATTCAAGCTAGAATTATGGAACCAGATTATTCTCAATTTTGCTCTAATCCTCTCATGATCAGTTTACCAAAACTAAAAGAAATGAAATCCGTGGTTGATAAGATGAAATCGACACACAACGGTAATGTGGACGTGGCAGGTTCACCTTCTGGTCAACTCCGGTTGGTCGTCAATAGTACTCTGGTCTCCATTAGAACCATTTACAAGGGATTGACTGTAAGGCGAGAAGGTATGAACACAAATGAAGTTTATACATCAGAAATTACTGTACGATTGAAATCTCTCTCTAGGTTCCTTCATGCTCATATCACAAATCCTACCGATGTAGATTGTATTTTTATTGATGGTCATGCCTTAATCATGGATGTTAAACTAGAAACTAGTGGAGTTGAAGAGACTGACAAGAGTTATCTCACCTATTATATTGCTGCTGTACAGGAATGAAAATTGAAATGATTATTTTCTTTGAGGAGTTCCACTACCAAGAGACTTTTTAAGCTCTCTAATCTGTAGTTCTGCTGCTTGTAACTTTCTTTTGTACATATCAATTGCTGTTTGACCTCCTGTTGAGTATGAAGCGTTTCTTTCAGAGTTAATTTTGGTATTAAGTTGTAAGATCTAGATTGTCATATATTGATCATTACTAAATTCCACATTTTGCCGTTGGCCCAACCACAGTGACTTACCTTTTGCTCGTATTGCAATTTCAACTTTTGAATTGCCTCATCATGCCTGCTTTGGATTTGAGTCAACTCCATATGAAGCTTTTCATTTTCTTCATTCTTGGCATTGATTTGGTTGAGGAGTTGGGACACTCTCCTTCTCAATTCATTTCTTTCAGCCTTTACTTTCTGAGAGAATGAAATGAGTTTTGCACTATTTGCTTCACATTCCTTAATGATGGAAAAGAGAGGATTCAACACAGTCTTCTCCAATACCGAAAGTTTTTCTTCCATCGTTCTTTCAACTCTTGACTCCATCTGCTCGTTTTCTTCCCATATTTGATGAAATTTCATTTCATATTCAGAAATACGTTCAATGAACTTCTTGTTACATTCAACAAGCTTTGCATTCTCCAATTTAGTATCAACAACTCTTTCAGATGTTTTGAAGCATCTCTCAATTTCCGCGTTCTTCAACTCCAGTTGATGTTTCAACTCAACTATCGTTTGTTCCAACTCTTTAATTCTTACTTGATGTTCCTTCTCTATTTTCTCTCTTAGGGAAAATTTTTCATTCATTTCCTTGTATTTAATTAAATCAATTAAATTCTTTCAAGCCAGTAGTCGTTAAATGATGATAATCCATATACCTCAATCATCAAGCCTCACTCACCTCTCTCATCCAATTTAAGGTCATAAACAGCTGGTCCTTTCGTTCCATTTTTTTGAGTCAATTTTGAAAAAATGCGTCTCTTGCGGTGCTTATTGTCGCTCTCCAATAAACCTTTGGGATGTAGAAGTGTTGTAGTTGCGTATCATCATCATGACCACCAATATCATCCTTACTTTACTCGTAACAACAGGTTTGCTTCAGATTATTTTAATACCGGGCTCCTGAAGACAGAAAATAATTCCAGAAATTATTCAAGTGTGAGAGAAAAGACTGTGGATGTTCTATCATTATGCCGAATTCGATATTTAGATAAAAGTGGTGAAAAAGATGTTATGGAAGGAAGAAGAAAAATTGTTAAATTTTCCGTTGAAGCATATAGATCCGAAGAACCTTCAGTGTTGAATGAGAAAATAAGAACCGATAAATTATTGAGTCAGCTACTTCCAATCAGCAGAGAATATGCCCAATTTTTGTTGAGTAATGGACATGTTAAAATTAATAGCAAAAAAAGTAACGAAGACACAAAATTTGTAAAATTTAAGGGTATGGATTATGAGAATTATTGGAAATAATGTATTCACATTTGGATAATATTGTAGATTTGATGGCAGAAAAATCATTAATTTTTGAAATTTATCTTGAGAATAGACCTATTGCTACACCAGTTGTACAATCAGAAGAAGAAAACTTTCCAACAGTACCTATCCATGTACTGTATGAGGATAACGATGTTATTGTTGTTAACAAACCTTTTGGATATGCTGTCCATGCAAGCAAATCTCATCCAGAATCAGCAACGATGATCAATGCCATACGGCGTTATTGCACAGAAAAATATCAAGAGGATCAAAAGACAAAAAAGAAACCTGTCAAACCTACGCTTCCATTGGCAGTGAATCTTGCCCATAGATTAGAAACTCAAATGTCAGGAGTCTTGATCTGCGGGAAAAACTCATATTCCAACCAAAAATTAAGCGCTCAATTTGAGCAGAACTCTGACATGAGCAAACAATATTTAGCTGTTTGTGCAGTTTCGGATGTAAAAGCCCTCAAAAAAAAGCTTAATCCATATCTTGATATGATGGAAGAGTTTAATGATGATAATGATGAAGAGGATGAAGCTTATCTAGCATCATTATCGGAGGAAGAATTATTACAACGATATGGGGTTAAAAAAGTGTCATTCGCGGATTTAAAAAAAGAAAGAATGGAAGAGCTCTTTAATTTGGAAGATGTTGTAGAGTATGAAGAGGATGAGGATATTGATCTGGTTGGTGAAAATGTTGAGGAAAATGAGCATTTGGAGAGGTCAGGTTGGATTGACTTATCGAAGGATCATGACGACTTTCTTGAAAAGATGGAAAAGGCAGCAAAAAACAAAACGATAACTATGCAAGGAGATGTTAAGTTAGTGAAACATCCAACTTTGAACAAGGTAGTTGCAGAAAAAGCAAGCAGACATGACGAGCTCATGAAAAATGTCAAAATATTGAAGGATGTCACAACAGTTTGCAAAGTACTGGAACTTAATGAGGAAAATAGTGTTGCATTGGTTTCCATCACCATTCCTTCTGGATCTGTTCAACAAGTGCGTTCTCATTTGGCAACCCACGGAATTCCTATGCTTGGAGATCTGTTGTACTTTGACCAAGTGGATAACCGAGTCCCATACGCAATTTCCAGAGCTCACAACGCCAATCATATTTTGTTTCATCTGCACAAGATAACATTCCAACATCCAATTACAGGAAAGAAGATTGTAGTGAGAGCACCATTATTGTCTTCAATGAAAGAGTTTATTTCCAAGAATTTTTCTGAGGCCATGGTACGAAAATATGTCAATCTAGAAACAAAGGAGCAAGAGGAATAACTACTAGATAAAAAAGAGTTCACTCTTCATTAGATTAATATATGTACAATGTGTGTAGAATGTGATTTGTTATTGGGATGGTTTTTCTTGAGTAGGATTATCCAAGTGAGCAAGAAATCCTCTTAGTATCTGAATATACGTTTTTAAAGTTAGCCTCTCAATAATATCATGATGTGAACCATTTTCAATGGACACAAACTTGTATTGGTAACGTGGATTAACATTATTGTAGAGCTCTTTACCATGATCATAAGGGACTACGTCATCGTTTGTTCCATGGAAAACTGCGAAAAAAGGGTCAAATCACCATTGTTGGTAATTCAAGTGCTACTTACTGATTACAGGAGCCTTTACATTGGGAATTCTATTAATGTTACAAAACATATCTACAGGTCTCAAAAATACAGAGCTACTAACAATACGACAAATTCTATTATTTTACAATACCAATGGATTTAGGTATTTCTGCAACAAAGTATAAACTTACGATACAAAAGCTAATTAATGTTAATTTGAAAAATGTCACATTCCATCTATTTCATACTTACGACACTCTAAAATAAGACCCTTAATAGGATACTTATTTGCTAAATAGCATGATGGGCCGCTTCCGACAGATGTTCCGAATATTACTATTGTTCAAATTTTCAATATATTGGTCGAACAGAAAATTTCAAAGAACTTACCAATGTCTTTTGGATTAACCTTTTGGGCTTTTGTTAAATATTCATATGCTGCTTCAGCACTCTCGTAGGTATCTTTGAAAGATGAAAATGTGGAAATATTGTGAATTGGATGTGTGGCGATGAAAATAAGAAAATACGTACCACTCTCCGATGGTTGATATTGATTTGCAAGTCCATAACCAACATATTCGTAATGAAGAACATTCACTAATAAATTATTGGAAAGTTTGACGAGTTGATGTGACATCATCTTAACACTCGAAACCTACCATTCAAATAATCACGCAATACAACCAAAAAATCAAACTACATGAAAAAAACAATTATTGAATTCCTTTGGTTCCTCTTCATTCAACATACCATGGCACCTATATCAGCAGCATTTCCGTGAGAATATATAATGGTGGTTGGAGTGTCCTTGCTTGCCTTCAAATAATAGCAAGGAATCATCTTTTTTGATTTAGTCGTGAGAAAAGTAACGGGATATGGATGGTGCTCATCGTAGGTTGGTTTTGGAGGAGCAAACACATATTGTGAGACAATTTGACCCATCTTCTGGCCTATGATTTATATATATACTGTTTATAAATTATATTCAACTGAATCCGAGGATATTCAAAATTTTCACGTCCGATGTATTGTAATATGGCGTGGCGTATGAATAAATTTATCTCAACAGAAAATAGTAATAGTAATTGAACACGACGCTGATTGACTTCCAGTACAAAACAAGAACAACAACGAATGAATCCAACGAGAAGCTTCTCTCAGCAACGGCCGTAATTTTTTTTTTAATCCTGTCAGCGCTGAGATGACTTTCCATATCGGAGAGCTGGTGCAAGGAACTGAGAAACAGATCCTCGATTCTCTTAATATAATTTTCTTCTCCAACTTTTAAAGACCTCCTCATGATCATCATGAAGACTACTGAAACGTCTTAAAGTCTATTTCCGAATTACTCTTCTTCCTCTGCCACTGTCTTGGCTTTCTTGATGATAGATCGTTCTTGATCCTCTTCCAATAATATCTCTTCCAAATACATCACTCCTTGCAAAGACAACGGAAACAGGCAGCCTTCTCCAAATATTGATCCGAGTGCAAGTGTTGATGAATGTGTTCATCTAAAACGGCCAGATTTTCTCTTCTGTTGTCCTGCTTGTTCTTATTGATATGATGAACGTGTTCGGTTGGTAGTATTTCACGACCTATTTTCTTCTCGGCTACTCGTCGATGAGTGTATTGCCATTGAACACCTTTGGGAGAAGAAGAAGAACTGTTAGTTCTATTACTTTGGGATGAGCGATCTGCAACAACTCGGTATTGACGATAGCCTGAGGAATTGTCTCTTGATGAGAGTCCTCTTGCCAGACGATCGATTTTGACTGTGGTTGGAAAAGCTCGAAGAAGGTGACGAAGAAGAAGTTTTGTAAGGTTGGTAGCGATGATGCGACATTTTTAAACTCAGTCTCTTGAAAGAAGAATCTTCCTGTATCCAATGTACGAATTTGAAGAATTGCTTGTTGAGAATACAACCATCCTGAATGGAGCAACACAATACACCTCTTGCAACTGAGTAAATGAATGAAGAAGATGAGCTTGATATCAACATCATCAAAGAAAGGCTTGAGTTAGAAATCTCTTAAAAGTCAACTCTGCAAGAGCTAATAATAACACCGTTTGCCTTCATGTCTCTCTCCAGTTGATGTTGAAATAAAGTACTGCATCGACTACACACATCTACCATCGTCATGTCAGGAAAGTCTTGCGAGAGACACCCTTGAAGACTTCCTTTTTTAGTTTTTTTAAAGCGGTGTCGCTCGTTCGCGCTAAAAACTGTAAAAAATATGGACCGCTATGAGGTCATTGACAAGATTGGAGAAGGTAAGGGTTTGAAGAGCATGGAGAAGGAGTCTTCAATCATGAGGAGCTTTCATGTTGTTTCAATGTAATGATCACGACTTTTTCAACGATGAAAATCATCAAACGATTCAACGATTTTATAACTCAATCTCCCGCGATCAAACAGGAACGTACGGAGTTGTATTGAAGTGTAGGGATAAAGAGAGTGGAGAGTATGTGGCCATCAAACAATTCAAAGAGAATGATCGTAAGTTTCATATCGTGGAGGTGATTTTAAAGATGATCAAACTTGAGAGTAGAAAAGGATGAAATTGTGCGGAAAACAACAATGCGAGAGGTTAAATTATTGAAATCTCTCAAACATGAAAATATAATAACGCTTAAAGACGTTTTCCGAAAACGAGGACGACTTCATCTTGTATTTGAGTTCTATGAAATGAATATGTTGGAACATCTCTCGCTGCAACCGGAAGGATTTCCAGAAGAAATTGTAAAACTATACATGTATCAATTAGTCAAAGCAATTGCATTCTGTCACGACAACCAAGTTATACATAGAGACATCAAATTGGAAAATATAATGATTAATAGCAACAAGCAACTCAAACTAATTGATTTTGGGTTTGCTCGAACGATTCCTAAAAAAGAAACAGAATTTACAGATTACATTGCTACGCGGTGGTACAGATGTCCGTCTCTTTTGCTGGGATGTAAACATTACGGTCCTGAGGTGGACATTTGGGCAATAGGATGTATTATGGGTAAGTTTTGATTTTTGTCGTTAGCGAAAGTGATCCACCTAACAAACGATATTTAGCTGAGCTACTTACTGGTAAACCTTTGTTTCCAGGACATTCTGAGATAGATCAGCTTTACCTTATTCAAAAATTACTAGGACCTTTGACAAAAGAGCAAACGAAAATGTTCTTCAAAAACCCAATGTTCAACGGATACAAATTTCCTGACATGACAGCCTGTGAAGGATTGGAACGAAGATTTCTTGGGAAAGTTTCGAAAAGCGGGCTGCTGTTTTTGAAAGGATGTTTAAAAATTGATCCAAAAGAAAGGTTTACAGCCACAGACTGTTTAAATCACAAGTTTTTTGAAGGTATGGCAGATTTTGGAAGGCATTCGAATCATCCTACTAGTGAAACCAGTGTTGAAACAAACACAATACCGAAGCCGATCCTCGGCTCATCAACAAGCAAAGGAAATATACTTCAATCTGTAAATTATTTAGAACAACATGAAAATGTAAATACAGCAAGAAAGAAAAAGACAATTACAAAACCTTCCGAAATGATGACAGGATGTTTGGAATCAGTGGATGACTACCAACAACCAGAATTTGATGCTTCCATTTTACAAGCGAACAAACGAGCAAGATCCAGGCAAGGTGGAAGAGATTTCGATGAGGACATCTCTCGCTCTCAGTCGAGGAGTGAGAAGCGTAAACCAAAATTAAGCGATGTCCACCTTCAAAAACTACCACTGCCGAAACCAGTGCAAACCAAAACCACCTTAAACAAGCTTCCATACTCCAACACATACGAAAAGAAAAAACCAGTCTCCAGTCAAAAACTGAGACATCTCCAGCCGGTGGACAACATTCACTCAAAAGGTCAATTTGAAGTAATTGAGGAGCACGTTGATCAAGAAAACGAGCATGCTGGGAAACAGTTTTTAGCCCACAAAAAGGAACTAAACAGAGCTCCATCTTCGTTTTCAGACAATCTCGCACATGATGAAGCAACAGCATCACCAAGAGTGGCAGGAGAAAAAGTTGTAAAGACAAGGAAAAGCAAGTCGAATTTAACACTTCGAAGCTCGATTAAGAATGGTTTTAGTGCATTAGAACAGCCAAAAACAACGAACGTTGGATGCCTTTCTCCTATCAAAGCTCTTCCAAAGCTTTATCATGTTAGTCCGCAGTCTCATCCAATTTTAGGTCTTCAGCAAGGAAGAAAGTCATCCTCCTCGAAAAAACTTCCTCTTGGAAATGCTCTTGAGCTTGGAAATATCGACGATTTGGAGAAAGATCTGCTCGATCACTTTTGTGGAGACAACAGTCCGGTTACAATAATGAACGATGTTTCACAAACTCATTCCAGAATCAAAACACCTCCAGCATCGCTGAGAAATGATCCTCATTCTCAACACAGAGTGCATCTAAAACCAATTCAAATAAACAACTAGGCACAAGACAAAGTTGAACTTTTAAAAGTGTTTATTTCAGCAAAATTCTACGATGATGTCTACATTATCTCCACATCTCCATGAATCGAGCTGCGCCACCCATTCCTCTCTGACCTCTGGAGCCTCCTTTCATCATTTCCAAGTCAAACATTTCTTCTCTTAAACCAAATGAACGAACAATGTAAGCTGTCGAAGTAGAAATTTCATCATCCATCTTCTTCAAACGTTTTGTGAAATTAATTGTTCTTTGAATGCTTCTGTCAAGAGTTTGATTTGTGAAAGGAGAAGAGAAATTAGAAGATTCAGTGTCCTCTTCGAATGTAACCATTCCGTCAAGTTGGTTAATTCTGGCATTAATTTGGCCGTTGTCGATCATCTTGAACAAAAGTTGTTCAGCTTCCTTTGCATCCTTCAAACGAGCAGCTTTAGCAATATCAACCAATGACAATGTGACATAAGTGGAAGTGAGCTTTTGAATATTTCTTCTGTGAAGAGCAGAGAGACATTGCTTCATCAAGCCAAGGTTCTTGTCATCCTTGATTGCCTGATTGTGTTCATTCAAAATCTTGTAAGCCTTGTCTACATCGTCACGTTCAAAAGCAGTTGCGAAATCAATATAGATTTGGCAGAAAGTTTTCATATGTCTGTGGACCAAGTTTGAAGCATTCTTGGAAATACCTAAATATTTACCATGCACCAAGAGTGACACTAAGACAAGCTTCTTGGCACTTTCTACCATGATGGCATTCAAAGCAAGGGCAGGAATTTGCATTGCCTGTAGATCAAATAATTAATTTGAAATCGTTCAAGGTAAGATAAACAATATTACAACAGAAATTCCTTACTTACGTTGTCAAAGAATGTATATGCCTTGGAAAATTCTTTCATGCCAATGTAGATCATACCACCATAGTAATAATACAACAACATATCTCTTGGAGTAAGACCTGTAATGTCTGTGTCCACATCAAAGATCTTGTTCTCGATCAAGTTATATCCAATCTTGTAATTCTTTGTCTTTAAACACAACAATAAAAGTTGACTGTGAACTGGTGTCAAATATTCAGAAGACTTTCGGAATCGTTGGACAGCAATTTGGAGTGTTCTCAAACCTCTGACAGCCAAGTTGTTGTCTCTACACAACTCCATATACCTATTGGTAACATAAACAAATCTATTGGCAGCCCTTCTTGTTTGTTCACCATCAAGAGCAACAACAAAACCTTCGACCTCGTTCAAAAAAGATTCATCAAGTTTTGGTAAAGAAGCTTTAGCAAAGAGCAAATATGTGATACCCAAAGAGTTTTCATCAGGTCTCAAAGCCTTGAGGGCATTGGAGATGTGTCCGCCCATTTGTCTGAGTTTGTCCATGTTCATCTCCAATTTCTTTTGAAGATCATCCAAATCCTTCTTCTTTGCTTGAAGGATAGCATTAACAATTGCGTCCATGATGATGATGATGATCTATGTCTTTTAAAAATTTAAAGGAAGGTGATCAAGATGAAATCCGTGATGATGATAATAATGACCCGATCAAGAGCTTTGAAATTTTTTTAATGGATGTTTTATTTTTAAAGTGCCACTGTTGTAACCAGGTAAGTTCAACAACAACAGCACCAGCTTTCAATGATTTCCACTGCGTTCAAATCTCGTTGAACAAAAAATTGTTTGCGTTCTGCGAGGTTGAATTTCAATAACAATATTAATAACGAACAGACAATGGAAAAAAGATGATAAACCTAAAACTATGGAGAAGAAGAGAAATTGGTGAGCCCATGAGAGATCTCTTGTTGAAACACAGCATGAATAGATTTAGAGTCTCAACAAGCCTTGCTCTCAACTCTCGGAATATCATCATGAACACAACAAACAACTCTCGAACAAGTTTATGGCATGTTTCATCCTCCTCCTCGAACGGAATTCGTTCCTTCTCTACGAAATCTGGTAATTGCAGCAGTAATAGTAGTAATGAAAGGAAACAAAGCGAAGAAGAGAACTCCCGAAACTCATCACCATCATCATGGATTCTCAACAGAATTAGAGGGAGTTTTCCTACCAATAGAGAGCTCTTTCAAATGTTTATTACGATTATTGCCTTGATATCAGGCACATTATTCTTCACATCGGATTACTTTTTAAATTTACTTGTTCAATCCTCAATGAGGCTGTTGGAATGGGACAAGTACTTGAGTTATGAGTCAATAAGTGGATGTTTTTTCTGTGGATCAATGAAAATTCATAATCTTTCTGTGAAAGATTTTCAAGTGACACCTCACCATGTAGTGAATGGAAAAGTGGAGAATCTGTATATTGTTATTCCATGGTATTTAATTGCAAAGGAATGTGTTATCAAATATTTCAAGCCAAATAGACCTACATATTTATATATTCCAAGATTTGTTGCCATTGGAGGTGATATACACTTTAAAAATCATGAGGAGCAAAATGATATCAATGTACTACCCCAGAATCTTGGGTTTGACACTCTTGTCATGGAGGGAATTGGTGTATTTGACATGAACATCAACATGAATGATTCTGCTGACCATGTATTTGTGGACAGATTTGAAGTGTTTCACACATTGTCGTTTCACAAATCTGGATCAACAAATTTCTATCCCTTTGCAGTATTTTCTAAGGGTAAATTCACTGTCAACCAAGACAACATCATTCATGTGAATATATATCATGATGATACCTCTAAAAGCTTTGAAAACTCAGGCAGTGATGACTATTGGACTTGGAGACATGAAAATACTCCCCAATTATGCTCTCAATGGACCATTACAAACTCTGACAATTCTTTTGTAGTGTTGTGTAAATATCACGATAAGTCCATTCAAATTCAAACACATCTCAACAATGACGACACCATTGTTCACTCTCTATCAATTCCTCACCAACACTTTACATTCCACAAGTCGTATCAATTTATTTCACCGTACCTCAAGAGAAACAACAACAACACTAAGACTTTTTTCACAGCTGCCTCAAATTAATTGCTTGCTCTTATCTCATGTTGAGCAATAACCACATGTAGAACGAGAATGAATCAATCATGTCTCTATCAATGGGATGACCATTCACCTTCAAAATTCTTGAAGAAAAAGCGATTTCAAAAAAAATGAGTAAACGATCCTTCAGCAACTTTAACAATGAACAGAGATTCTCTTCTTCGTCATCATCGGGAGGCCACAACCGAGGAAGAGGCAGCTATAACAACTCTTCGGACCGAAAAGGAGGCTACAACCGACCGAATAATTCTTACTCCAATAATCGATATAACAACAACACCAATAGATCCTTTGAAAAGAAAAAGAGAATAGATTACAACACCAATACTACAGAGGAATTACACCGTAAAGACCACAAGAACATCCACGAGAAGCGATGCCGAGACTAATCCATTTACCGGACAACCATACAGCGATAAATACTATGAAATTTATGAAAAGAGAAGATTATTACCAGTGTTTGAGGCACAGAAAGACTTTGTCAAATTAGTTGAAGATAATCAAATTGTACTTTTGGTCGGTGAAACAGGTTCCGGTAAGACCACTCAAATTCCTCAATTCCTTGTTCACGCCGGATATTCAAAAGATGGAAAAGGAATTGCTTGTACCCAACCTCGTAGAGTTGCTGCCATGTCTGTTGCTCAACGTGTGGCCGATGAGATGGATGTTGATTTGGGTAATGAAGTTGGTTATTCCATTCGTTTTGAAGATAAATCTTCAGAAAAAACAATTCTCAAATATCTCACTGATGGTATGCTTTTAAGAGAAGCCATGTTAGATCCCAAATTAAGCAAATATTCAGTGGTTATTTTGGACGAAGCACACGAAAGAACACTCAGTACAGATATTTTGATGGGTTTGTTGAAAGAATTGTTGCAAAAAAGAAAAAGATTTGAAACTGGTAGTGATGAGCGCTACTTTGGATTCTGGTAAATTCCAAGACTATTTTGAATCTGCTCCAGTCATGCACATTCCCGGTAGAACATTCCCTGTTGAAATTTTCTATACTGAAAGCCCAGAAAAGGATTACTTTGAAGCTGCCATAAGAACCACACTTCAAATTCACTTAACAGAAGAAAAAGGTGATATTTTGCTCTTTTTAACGGGTCAAGAAGAGATTGAATCTGCATGTGAACAGCTCACTCAAGAGGTGAATAACATGAGAGCTGAAAATAGAAATATTGGAGTATTGGAATGTGTTCCACTTTTCAGTACTTTACCTCCCGAACAGCAACAACGTATTTTCAAAGAAGCTCCTCCTGGAGGTAGAAAATGTGTAGTTGCAACAAATATTGCAGAAACATCAGTGACTATCGATGGAGTTGTTTATGTGGTCGATCCAGGATTCTTTAAACAAAAAATTTATAACCCAAGAACAAGAGTAGAGTCATTGCTTGTGACACCAATTTCTAAGGCTAGCGCTAAACAAAGAGCAGGTAGAGCGGGAAGAACTCAGCCTGGAAAATGCTTTAGATTATATACTGAGGAAGCTTTCAACGATTTGGATGAGCAAACATACCCAGAAATTTTGAGAAGCAATTTGGGAACAGTTGTTTTGCAATTGAAAAAGTTAGGTGTGGACGATTTAGTTCACTTTGATTTTATGGATCCACCTGCTCCTGAGACTTTAATGAGAGCATTGGAACTGTTACATTATTTGGGAGCTTTGGATGACGAAGGAGAATTAACAGAGCTGGGAGATCGAATGAGTTTATTCCCTCTTGATCCTCAGTTGGCCAAACTTTTACTAGTGTCACCAGATTTCAACTGTTCGAATGAAATTTGTACGATTGTGGCCATGCTTTCTTCGCCAAGCCCTTTTGTGAGACCAAAAGGTCAACAACGTGAAGCTGACAGTGCCAAAGCACAATTCCAACATTCAGATGGAGATCATCTTACTCTTCTTAACACTTTCCATGCCTTCATTGCAAATAAGTGTGATAAGAAGTGGTGTTATGACAATTATCTCAACTATAGAACTCTGAGATCAGCAGAGAGCGTGAGAAAACAACTAGATCAATTGATGGTCAAATCAGGAATTCCTCGAGTGAGTGCTGATACAAGCTCTCCTGAATACTATAGAAATATTAGAAAAGCTCTTGTTTCTGGCTTTTTCATGAACGTCGCATTTAAAGATAGATCTAACCATTATTGCACTGTTAAGGATAACCAAGTGGTTGCCTTGCATCCATCCACCACTTTGAATCATTCTCCAGAATGGGTCATATACGATGAATTCGTGTTAACAAACAAACAATATGTAAGAACGGTGACAGAAATTGAAGGAGAATGGCTGCTCGAACTTGCACCTCATTACTATGAATTAGATCATTTTCCACCAAACTCAGATTGCAGAACAAAAATCGAACGGATTATGATTCAAAGAGAAAGAAGAAACGCTAAAAGCAAAAATAAATAATTACTGAGATAATTTATTATTCACTAGTGTTGTTTATCTACAATCGTGTTGAGCTTTGTGTCAAGTTGAAATATCATAGGTCGCTTAGTTGTTGAAGCACACTGCTGGCGTTTCCTCGTAGTCTGGGTATGGCCAGATTTAACCTGTGAAGAAATTGTGAAATAACTCTATTCTCTCCAACAAAATGCCATTCGTTTTTGAAATGATTGATGGCAGATGCCTCCAATTCTTCTCGGCTGCTTGCTCTAGTAACTGAGTTAATATTATGATATCTTCGGTATTTGATCAACTGTTCAGTGTTAAGCCTCTTAAAGAATTGTTCTAAAGGCATTGATGAGGGATTCGTCTTTTTCTTTGTGATTCGCTTCTTGCTAAAACCAGCTGCCCCTAATTGTTTTTTTAATCTCGGAACAGAAGTAGTTATAGGAATCATTGTGACAGTGTGTAAGAATTGTACATGTTCCGAATTGATATTCTTTTGTATGATTTGGGCTTGTTCTTGAACTGGAACGTTTTCCAAATACTTTTCGAAAAAGTCATCATCGACAATAACAATTTCCTCTGTATCATCGAAATTCTCATCTTCTTCATCATCACCACTTTCATCGGTATAGGATTCGTCATCGTCTTCTTCAATAAAAGTGCTCTCCTCATCCTCATCATCGGAAGCACTCATATTGGTATCAATTGTTACAGCTGTTGTGCTTTCATTGTCATTTGCTCCTAGCAATGGTGTAACAGGTTTTGGTAATATAACAGGAATAGGAGGTTGAGAGTTTGACGTCGATAGAGGAGGAAATATAGAATGCACGTCATGGTTCAAATTCGGTTGTGTGGTACTCACATGCGAAGATGAACTCAACGTTGATGTCGTGGAGGGTGGCGTAGCAAGTCGTCCACTTCTCTCGACAGGTACAGATTGGTTGTAACCAGTTGTTGAAATTGGATGTAATGATGAAGAAGAAACACCGCTCGGAACCACCGTGTTATGGTTGCTACTCGTAGAGGAAGAGTTATGAGCACTCGAGATGGGTGGTGTTTGTATCAGACTGATGGTAATGGAAGTAGCTGAATTATGAGAGACTTGTAAATTAGATCCAATAGGAGGAGAAACAGTCAGTGATGATGAGGAAGGAATATTGGAATTTGTGGTAGAGGAGAGAGAGGAAAGAGAGGCATTGCTATTCGATGAAGTAAGTGAAGAAGATTGCAAATTGGAAGTGCTGCTAGTGTTGGCACTGTTCCGTTTTCTACCAGAGCCCGATGAAGTGGTAGTTGTGGAAGAAGTAGTTGAAGATGAATTTGAGGCAGAATTGCTTCGTTTGCGAGAGGATGAGGAGCCTTTTTGATTTTCACTTTTGGATTTGTCATCTGTATAAATGTTCCATGATGACAAGGATTATTATCGTATGATGATGAAAATAATGTTGTCGTGATGAGGTAGAGTATTATTATTGATGATTTCAAAAATCGGAAAAGATACCAAATCATCAGGATTGATCGGAATAAAATCCATGACAACATTCAGAGATGGAAAAGTCGGTAATATTAATAAATAATGATAATAATAATTAAAATACCTACTTTTTGGTGCAAGACCCAGCAATGCCGCGCGCTTCTCTTCTAAATGTGAGCTCATCATTTTTGCATATTTTTTTTCATAAATTTAGAATTTTGCATTGTTGCAACAAACGCTGAACAGTAATCGGATTCTCAAATGACTGTCAAAAGTAATCCTCACGACCACCACAACCTCCATCACTACAATATGAATTGTTTTTATCAATATGGCGAACTTGATCAACTCCAGTTTTTGTAAATTCAATTTCATTTGTCGTTTGTCCTCCCAGAAAAGCCAACAACACTCAACAATACTCTCGGAAAAAATGTTGAGTCGTAGTGGTGGTCGTTATTCCTTGCTGATGGTGTCGAGCAGCAATCGTTGCCTCACCCACAACATCAACAACAACAACAACAAATTCATTGCTTCGGCCATTTCAAAGTCTTTGCAACAGAGATCCATGTCTAAAAGTCCTCTCTTTGATTTTACCGAAGATGAAATCATGATGAAAAATCTAGTTCAAGACTTTGTCAAACATAACATGCCATGGGATCTTGTTCATAAGATGGATGTTGAATCCAAATTGGATCCAACATTGAAGGATCGATTATTTGAAGCTGGATTATTGGGCATTGAAATTTCCGAAGAATATGGTGGAAGTGGACAAAGCTTTACTTCTTCCATCATTGCCATTGAAGAGTTGGCAAAAGCAGATCCTGCCATCTCTGTCATTGTTGATGTCCAGAATACTTTGGTGAATAATTTAATTTCAAACTTTGGAACCAAGCAACAAAAAGAAAAGTATCTTCCTTTGCTCGCCTCGAAGGGTTTGGGTTCTTTCTGTTTGTCAGAATCTTCATCTGGAAGTGATGCATTTAGTTTGAAAACAAGAGCAGATGCCAAGTCGGATGGATCCTATGTTTTGAATGGAACCAAGTGTTGGATTACTTCTTCACAAGAAGCAAGTTTCTATATTGTGATGGCAAATACTGACTTTTCGAAAGGATATAAAGGTAAGTTGAGATTACACATTGGAAGAGAGAAATATGACTTTGAATCAATTCCACGGTCATCACTCTGTTCCCATTCTTGACCACACATTCTCACTTTTCTATTTTGAATGTCATGATTTTTCCACATGTGACTGCAGGTATTACTGCATTCCTTGTCGATCGAGAAAATCCTGGACTTAAAATTGGAAAGAAAGAAGACAAATTGGGCATTCGAGCATCTTCCACCTGTGAAGTTATTTTGGAGGATTGTGTGGTTGGACCAGAATCTATTCTCGGAGGCGTTGGAAAAGGATACAAGTTAGCCATTGAAACCCTCAATGAAGGTCGTATTGGAATTGGTAAGTTTGTATGTGAAAACATTATAACTTTGTGTTGAAACCATTACATGACGAATGAATGCATTCGGACATGGTGACTAACACATGTGCTACACTCAATCAGCATCTCAAATGGTTGGATTAGCTCAAGGCGTGTTCGATTACACCATTCCCTATCTCAAGTCAAGAAAACAATTCAACACTGCCATTGCAGACTTCCAGGGTATGGAATTCCAATATGCGAGAGCTGCAGTTGAAATTGAAGCAGCAAGACTTATGGTTTACAATGCTGCAAGAATGAAAGAAGCAGGACAGAATTTCACCAAGCAGGCTGCTATGGCAAAATATTATTCATCTGAAGGTTGGTTTTAAACATTTATGAACTTCACAACATTGGTTCACAACCTATGACTTTTACTTACAATAACGACGAAAAGTTGCTGGAAATGTTGCCACCAAGTGTATCGAATGGTTGGGTGGAGTGGGTTTCACGAAAGAATTCTGTGCAGAAAAATTCTACCGAGATTGCATTATTGGAAAGATTTATGAAGGAACGAGTAATATCAATCTTCAAACAATTGCCAAATTCATCAAAAAAGAATACAATTAATTATAATATTGGAACATGAACATTAAAATAAATTGAAGCTGGATTCATTAGAACCTGACGCCAATAAGGGCTGTAACATGACTGGTTAACCGCCACAATTACAGCAAACTGTAACCGACCTCACGATTCGTCAGGAATGAGGTTCGTGAATGTACATACACTTGTGGTTCCATTCGCGAACACGAAATCTTTGTGTTGAGGAATATTTTCAAGAAGCATGTGCTGGCATCAATACGGAAGTAAGGCTTTTCCTTTCAAAAAATTTATATTCTCATCTTTCCTCTTATGAGCGAGAGGAGCAAAATTGTAAGGTCCATCATAATAGGTCGAGCATGACGAGTCAGTTGTACAATCGGGAGAAGCAACACCATTCTCGTAGGAAGGGATCTCTACCAAGTAGTACCGCCAGTGGAGATGAAGAGTTTGAGTCATCCTCTCCTCATGATGCATCTTCTAATGAATCTTCTCCTCTTCCTACCCCTGCCTCAAGACAAGGAATATCTCCCTTCAATCCATCATCGCATCATTGGCAAAACAAAAGCCTAAACAAAATGGAGCCCAATGAGTACTTGAAGCACCAACAACATGAGGACACTCTACTAGCGGTACGAAAAACAATTGAATCTATTCAAGGCGAACTGAGGACTATCACCTCCTCTGCACTTGAAGAAAACTTTGCCAAAGATCTATCCACCTTCCTCAATAATCAAAACAACAATCAAACTGTAATTTTGAAATCGGAGAAAGTAATTTATTTGAAGAACATTGAAAATCTTGTTCGCCAAATTAAAATCTTGGATGAAACAAGGAAAGGAGAAATCGCCTCGTTAAAATCCATGTACGAAGAAAAACTTGCTGTACTCGAGTCAGAACTGCAAAAGAAAGAATCCTTGGTAGGAATATTGACTCGAGTTAGTGAGGAAAAAGATAGAGTGATTGACAACATTCATTTGGAAAATGGTGCCAGAGTTAGTACCCCAAAAGAGCTTAAAAGCATGAAGCAAGAACTCAATTGTTTGAAACGGCACCTCCCAGAAACATCAGAAACATTAACTCAACTAAAGAAGGATAGAAAGAAGTCGAGATCACCCGTTGAGACAGTTTACCCAAAGAAAGTGAATGTGTCGTCCTCTTCCCCTCCTAAAGATCTGGATGACCTTAAAGAATACTTTAACAGTGTGCATTCTTCTCCAACCTTGACAGACAAGACAAGATGGATCCAAGAAAGCGTTAACAATAGAAGCTCGTTGAACGAAAAGCTACCAATTCTCACCAAAAAAACAGCGTCAAAATGATATATGTTGTGATTTGGCCCTCTATTGATCTTTGTACCTGTACAACTTGGATATTTCACGTTTGCTCATTGCATAATTGGTAATGATTATTTCGTCAAGACAGCCTTTGAAACCTGTGAACCGATAATCATCGTTGGATGCACCTACTTGAAGCTTGTTCAATCCACAACCTAAGATGGCGAAATCACACTTCTTGTCCTCAGTTAAGACGCCATTAATGTACTCACGTAGTCTATCACCGCTGTAAACATAGGCTAAATGATTCCACTCTCTTTCAAGGAACAGTTGATGTTTTGGAAACTCTTCTTCCACTGAATCGTCACCATCATCATCATAAATTTTGAGATGAAGAGTGCTGTTGGACCCTAATTCAGAACCATAGCCTTCTTCTGAGTCAGTAATTTTAGAAAGAATATCACCGAAAATTGCTTCATAATCAATTGTTTTTGTGTGATCAGATGTGCTACTAGTTGATGTAATTTCTGGAACAGGTGAGGGTGAAATAGAAGAAATTGTTTGTTGTTTCTTTTTCTTCTTTGTGACAAGAGATTGACCTCTACAATCATAAAATTCGGAAGCTTTGGTACCAATTGTAAATCCACTCATGGAAATAATTTCCTCGTCCAATTTTTGTTGTTCTTTTTTGGTTGGTTTTGATGCTCTGTAAAGAGTTAGATATGACGATAATGATGATTATCAACAACCACACAATAATAAATTGTACTTACAATTTCTTGTTAAAGCTAGTGTTCAATACTGCCAAAGAATTTAAGCTTAATCTTCGGTGCTTCTTTTCATCATTCAATCCATGAACACTCAATGTACGAGGAGTTTGAGTTGGAGAGTTTGAAAAGTGGTTGTTAGGGATACTTGTCGTGCTTGTAGTGAGTGTAATGATTGGAGATTGATTGTGGTTCTCTTCTGCCATATATAACTTCTCCAAATGACTCGTTGCAGAGTCAGTGTTCAATTGATGAATCAAATTTGAGTTATATTCTTGCAAAATGATACTCTTGTTGGTGGTGACGGTACTGAGCATGATGAAATCCTTCTCGACTTCTTCACATTTAAACCAAAAACTGATGGTGAACTCGGTGACATTCCTGGTTGGATTTAAATTACTTTCCAAATAATTAAAGCCCGAAAAGTAGGCAGATCTGCCATCTGGAATGACACCATCTGCACTTTCAATGTCGTCTGTGTCGAGATTTTTGAAACGTAAATGAATTCCTCTTCCACTGGTGTCTTTCACATATCTTTGAACAGATTTCTCAATTTTTTCATCGAAACCATAGTGAACTAATTCGATCCGATCGATTAATCGGGTCCATGTGATTTGTAATCGAATTTGTGCACTCTTGATAATTGGTGAATTTCTATAACGTGGCGTATCTAATGGTTCTAATTGAAACCATGAATCATACAAGGTCTCTTCTCTCAAAATTCTCATTGGAACTAATCGAACACATCCTAGAAACTCAGATTTTGACAATAGATTGTAATTCCATAATGTAATGATCATGGGAGAGTTACGAAACATGGGTTCGAAAGTGAATGCTTGATTCCATTGTGGATTTTGTCCTTTCTTTGATTTAGTTTTCTGAATTTTGCAATTTGGAGAGTTCACACAAAGTTTACAAAAAACTAGTTCCATTCAACAACAACACGATAAAAGCAGATGTTGAAAATGGTCAAAAGTAGTATTTTTCAATAATAAATATATGATGAACACGAATCATTACGAGACATCAAATGCCATCATCCGAGTTGTTATTATTTCAAAAATTTCCAAACCTCATGTCAGTCATCAAAACATACCATCACGATCACCTGTAATTCCTTTTCCTTCCACCACTGAATGGGATCAACCAGAGCACATGAAAGTATAATTATTCGTCATGACACAATGATGATGATGATGATAATTATATATTTATATTCAATCAATGAGAATAAATTCAAAAACAAGTTTTACACCTACCAGTAATTGTGAAACGATAGCTCGGATTGGAATAGGGAGACATTTCATTCAACGAGTCAGAGGTGGACTCGGGTGCAGATTGAAGTGCTTTGAACATTTTTTGACAAGTGGCAAAAATTTGGCATTCAAAAACTAGTTTGGCGAATGCACCACTTTTTCAATCAAAAACCTTTTTAAATCATGTGTCACTTGCAAATTTTAAATTCTTTCAACAATTAATTCTTTGTAATAAAAATAAACAAAAAAAATCTCTCTCTTGAAATCATTGCTTTTTTAAAATTCATATTCTTGAATTTTTCTTGAATCATCCTAATAATAATATCAACGAAATGCTCTCCGTTCAACCACAACAACAAGCCTCCGGTGTTGCTTCTTCTTCCTCTGCTTTACCTGAACAAATTGCTGTTTACAAGTACAAGCAACTCTTGTCCGAATTGGAGAATGCTAAAGGTACCGGAACCAGTGTAATTACCTTATTGATCAGCGGAAAGACTTCCATGAATCAGGTAGTCTCTCAAATGAATGATCGGTTGACCAAGGCTAGCAACATCAAGTCGAGTCTTTAACAGGAAGAGCGTTGAAACAGCAACTCGGACCATTATTGGTCGTTTGAAGCAGTTGAAAACTCCTCCTAATGGATTAGCTGTATTTTGTGGTATGGTCAATCCTCAGAGTGTTCCAACTTTATTTGCCAATGCAAATACCGAGACAATTGGTAGTAGTAGCAGTAGTTGTAGCAATGAAGGTGTCGAAGACTTTGAGGCGGGTAGTGCTGCTACTTCTACTCTCAAAAAACTATTCATCATGATTGAACCTCCCTTGAATCCCATTAAGAGTAATTTGTATTATTGTGATGACTGTTTCCATGTGGAGCAATTGAGAGAACAATTGCAAGATTTTACTGCTGGTAAAAAGTATGGTGTGATTGTCATTACTGGACATGGATCCTTGTTTGGTACTTGTCGTGGAAACACTCAGAGTATTCTTTATCAATTCAGTGTGGATTTGCCGAAAAAACATTCCAAGGGAGGTCAATCTCGTGAACGTTTTGCCCGCAATAGAGAGATTGCCAAGAATGAATACCTCAAACAAATTGCTGAGAAGGCTAATTCCTTGTTTATTTCTCAAGCTCTCAATGCACCCAATGTTGATGGATTGGTTTTGGCTGGCTCTGCCGATTTGAAGAATGAATTGATTTCTCTCAAGTCTGATGTTCTCGACTATCGATTGAGAAATAAGATTTTGAGTATTGTCGATGTGGCCTATGGAGGTAAGGCAGGATTCTACCAAGCTATTTCTCTTGCTCAAGAAGCAATTCTCGATGCCAAATACATTGAAGAAAGAGAATGTATTGAAGAATTGTTCAATTTGATGGCAAAAGACAACAAGGTCGCTGTTGGCTTGGATGAAACTATTTATGCGATTAATGCTGGATGGGCTGACAAGCTTATTATTTGTGAGACTCAAAATCAACTCAAGAAAGTTACCTTTGCCGACGATACTGTCAAGTACATGAGAGAAAAAGATTTGAAGGATTATGTGAAGGGTGATTCCTCCTCCTCAAGTGTTGTCAAAGTTGAAAGTTTGATTGATTATTTGATTGACAATTATGAAAAGCTTGGAATTAACTCATTGCAACTTGTCTCTTCATCCACCAATGAAGGCAACATGTTCATGACTTCCTTCGAAGGCATTGGCTGTATCTTAAAGTTTGATGTCAATGTTGCTGCTCTTTTGGCTGAAGAGAATGGTCTCAATGACCACACTTTCGAGAACAATGCCTTTGATGAGGATTTGGCTGATTTCTACTAAACGAACTAGGGCCTTAGAAGGTGTGATTGTCACTTGATATTCAAGTATAGACTTTGATCTTGATTCACATCCTCTTCGAACCGCAATAAGTTTTCTGGTGTGTGTGTGTATTAATACATAAATACCCGACAAAATAAAGAAAGTACTGAGACAATGAAGCAAGTGCAATTTCAAAGTATACTTGTTCAGAAAAAGATCAAAAAATGATGAGCATGAATATGCAAGAAATTGACAAACTCATCACCATCGATGGAGGGTAAGTGCATCATGGATTCGTTCCGAGATCTCTCTTGGTTTCACATCATTTGTTTTAAAAGTATTTTAGAAGGAGGAGGTCAAATCATTCGAAACACAACAGCCTGTAGGTGATTGATAGGAATTTGAAGTTCCATAAATACATTTTTAAACATCATCTTTGTTTGAATATATTTAACATCACTTCAAATTTTTATGAAACACATCAAGTGTCTCACATTCTTCACAAACCAATTTTAATTCAAAACATTCGAGCAGGAAGAGAAAATCCAGGCCTTCGAGCTCAACATTTGAGTGGAGTTGTTTTATTATCCATGCTTCCATCAAGATATGAATATCAATCCCTGTTGAGTGATTGTCAAGTAGGATCTTCAAAATTTACCTATCTTCCAGTCATTTCCAAAAAAAGAGAGGAATGTGAAAATACTCATCAAAATGGAATTGTAAGGTGTGAAAAAACAAATACATCTCCACCTGAAGTGAAAATCATGTATTTGGAAAATGAGACTAGTATCGAATTGAGTGCTGATTGTATGACTGCTGGTGCAACCACCTTAATGATTCAATCCTCTTTGTGTCCTTTATTATATTTTGATTCCAATGGAAAGAACGTGAAAGTGATTTATAAGGGCGGCACCAATGTGGATTTTTCACCACCTTTTGAACAAGTTTCTGAAGTTTTTCTTCCTCTTTTGAAGAAGTATTTTTTGAAAGATTTGAATGCATTGGAAATTGAATTGGAATGTAAACAGCGCGGATTTTTTCCAAAAGGAAAAGGACAAGTGGAATTGATCATGACCAAGAATGCAGATGCCAATTTGAAGGGAAAATGTTTGAGTCCAATGTATTTAATTGATCGTGGTGAAACTATTTCTAAAATTGTATTGAAATTATTTTATACTGAAAAAGAGTATGAGAATATTGCGGAAAAGATTGAGCAAGCATTCAAGTTTGAATTTGAAAAACATTTTCCGGAACACAAGTTTCGAGATACGCCAATTATTGTTACAAAAGAAAGAGTGACAAATAATCCTGCTCGATCTCGAGTCATATTTGGCAATGCATTCATGTACGATACGAACGAGCAGTGTGTATTTGAAGCAAGTTTTCACTCCAAAAGATTTCTCTAAAAAGACAAAGAAACAACACTCTGATTTTAAAGTAGATGATCATATTGTATTTGTAAAAACTCTCATTCAACATTTAAAGAAGAATTGGCAAGAACAAGGTTGTGTCGATGAACACGTACAAGATCAAATTATTATATTCATGGCTCTTGCTAAAGGCACAAGTCGTGTTCGAACGGGACCTCTCACCCTCCATACGCAGACAGCCATTCACTATTGTCAAATTATGACAGGTGTGACGTTTAAGGTCGAGTCTCAGGAAAATGGATCAGTCATTCTCGAATGTGAAGGAGCAGGAGTTGCTCTCAAGTGAATTGCAATTTACTCTATTTTGTTTTTCTTTTTATTATTAAGGTGTTGGTTTATTGGGAGTTAGTTGACACAAATCAGGATTTGCTTCCCAATCACCAAGTGAAAAGATGATAAACATCAAATTGTTTAAATATGACCGTTCCATGAGAGCAATCATCGATCACTGTGAAATTATAAATATTGCATTCCTCTTTTTGCTGATTTATCTGAAATTCTTAAAAGTTATTCCAGAATAGAAGAAATATTGGGAGTTGTTGTGGGAATTGGATTCTTGTGATGCTTGTCATTGAGGAGGTAGGTTTGTGTGGATCCTTTTCCCTTCACTAATGTACGACATAACAAGTGATCTTGAACAACCATCGAGAGGATGAAAATCAACCACTTACCTTCGACCTTTCGTTCTTCGAACTCGAAACCGAGATCGTACACTCTTTCATAGGTGCTTCGGCTACATTGAATTCTTCCTTGTTTACTTGTCGATTCCATTCGGGACGCCACATTGATTGTGTCTCCCCACTTGTTTTAGAAGATAAGAGTTATTGTCAGATGTCATCAATAACTACGAAAATACATACCATATCTAATAAGAATTGTAAGGTTAATATACTTTACACGAACATAGATTCATTGTACTTACCATAGGCAAATTTTTTGGTTCCGATAACCCCAGCGATCACTGGTCCAGTATTGATACCACAACGAATATTGAGGAAGGTAGAATCATGGTTTGTGTCCAAGTTCAGTAATGTTTTTTGGTTGTACTCGTAGACCACATTGAAAGTTTCAATTGCAAATCTTAATACTCGTTCAGGATGGTCTGAGGTGGAGCTTGCATGAATACCACCAACACAAAAGTACTGTTGCCCATAGAGTTTAGTATTGCACAAGTATGAACAATACTTACCGCGTCTCCAATTGTTTTAATCTTTTCTAAATTATAAGTATCAGTAAGAGCATCAAATCCTGAAACGTTGAATGAGAATATTCAGCAAAAGTACAAGCAACATCAACAACAAAATTAATAAAAACAAACGTCACATTCTTCAGAAAAAATACGTACCATTTACGATAGTGTTCAGCATTTTAACTAAACCAGTCGCGTCCATTGTGGAACTTAGAGCTAAACAAAGTAAACACAAATAGCGTTATTTGCACAATACACATACCTGTAAAATTCACCATGTCAGAAAAGAAGCAAGTGACATCGTTGTGCTTCTCTGCTATAAAGGTCTCTCCTAATTTGAGCTTTTGACCTACCGCTTCAGGAAGGATGTTACGAAGAAGTGAATCAGATTTCTTCTTTTCCTCTTCCAACAGTAGATTTTGTTTCTTCTCAGCTGTAATATCTCGAATGACAAATACAAGTGTGGACTTGCTGGAAAATATGTTTGCTCTTGCAGGAAATGTCGTATTGTTCTTACGAAGGCATTCAACCTCTACTGATTCTCCTTTTGATGATTTTGATCGATCTGTGAGAGAGGAAAGTATTCTCTTGATTGTTGCGTGGCTACTCTCACCAAACAAAGTATACACACTTAACCCCACAACGTCACTGCTCTTAAGTCCGAAGCAACTCTCTGCAACAGGATTGAACAAATTAATTTCTCCTTTTTCATTGCAAAGTATTGACCCATCCACAGATGCATTCATGACTCCCTTGATACCGTCAGTGCTGTTATCCTCTGTGTAGCTGTTCTTTGTTTCTTTTCTTTTAAACTTGGGTGGAAGTTCTTTGTGGAGAATAAACTTTTTTAGTACGTCATCTTCCAGCAAGTCACTTGGAAAATAGTGCAGCATCATTCTGAATTGTCTATATTCCGCCCAAAATGCACTCATAGACGAGTACGTCAGTGATATCAAAATAATCAATAAAATATACCCAACAATGGAAAATGTAATTGTAATAGCAACAGATGGATTAGCAGCATATTTTGAATAGGTTTCAATAAAGTATTGCAACAAGTCGCCAAGGTTGTCAATGCTTGCAAATAATGTTTGAGTCCACATAAAAACACTAAGAGCTGTGTAATGTGATGGATTATAGAAAATGTCTAAAAAACAAATGGAATTATTAGGGATGAAATCGAACTCAGAAGAATACTAACCTTCGTTGAAGAGAGTTGCAGAGTTAGTAATGTTTGAAATAAGCTCAGACAAGGAAGGGCAGAGAGAGGAATTGTTCGTTACATTGCAGTTGTAGATTCCATTGATTATGTTATCAATCTTTGGATACTGGCCAATTAATCTTGAATATGCGTTTTCATTATTTCCATATAACAATCCGTACCACTTCGTGTTGATAAGGTCAATTAAGTTTTTGTGGTCATCATGAAAGAATTGCAGCTCTTTTCGCGAGGTGAGAGCTGGATGTTTGATAGGCAAATTGCTATTAATTTCATTCATATTGTAGATAAAAATCTCCTGTAACCTCAGGCCTACTCTTTGAGAGGTCATGATCACATTAACGCTAGATTGAATATTACGAATTGCATTAGCAGAAAAGTTTGAGTTCAATAAAGTTTCTAAAAAGAATAATGAAACACAGCCAACTGTAACGACAATTACCAATATTACTAGAATGGCAATGAAGATGTTTGGACGAAGCATCTTTGCTATCAAGCCGTCACTTCCAATCTGCATATCATCGTTAAGCTTGGCATTTAGTGCATGGCTGTGAAGTTTAAATTCAGGCATCGAGTTTTCTGGTAATTACTTACTAAATTTTTCCAACCTTATCCTTTGAAACTCTCTTGTCTAGCAACTTCACTGCGTCAGTCAGGGATGAAAGAAAATAATTGGTTGCCAGAATTATTACAATCGCACAAACGACATAGGCTCCAGTTGAGGCGGCATAGTAGGCAAGAAAGTTATCCCGATAGGACTCTGCTTTTTCTTTGTTTCTTACTAAATATTCATTGCAAAACGTCTCAAATCCTGCCGAAAAATTGATTCTATTCAAATACAAATACATGAAATGAATGTTGTCGGCTGTGTGGTTATACTGTTCATCAGTGTAACTTAACATTGATTCACAATTAGTTAGGAGGGACTCTGTGATTTCCGCTATAGATGTGTTTCTATCAATAGTGTAATTTTGCCAACTATTTGGATTCGAATCTCCATATATCAACATTGGTTGCCGGTACTTTCTTGTTTGCTTTACATAATCAGAGCGCACAGACGCTGAAAACTCATTCTTTGTACTGAGGTCTTTCAAAGAATGTAGGGTCGCAAAAAATTGCTTAAGCTTAAGCTCGTGATTTGATTGCCATCTAGGATCCCTAGATAATAAGGTCATATGAGCTTGTTTTTCACGAACGCGTCTAGTCAGACCTAAAGGAACTGCTGCGGGCATACATATAGATTTAGACAAATAAATGTCTCCAGAAACATTGTACGAAATCGCAATGCTCATCACTAATCCTACTGTCAATATGATAACAGATATTGTCGCAAATACAATAAAACTAGTGAGTTGAAGTTGATTTTTCATATTCATGTTCAAAGACATTCTAAACAAAGCATCTACCTTGCGCGCTGATGATTCAGTGTTTTCAACTCCATCAAACTTATCATTCTCGACCTCATTAAATAGCTCCTCAGATTTTTCATCAAAATAGTCATTGCTAGCTTTAGTGTCTGCTTCCAATGCCATTGATGATGATGCAGGGACAATCTTGTTATGATTATTTTTCTTTTGTACAATTTTTCTTTGACTGTTTGCTTCGTCATCTTCTATTGCAGTTGCTTCTTGGAACAGCTCAGACGCTTGTTCAGTGTTGAATTGGCATTCTTCCAAAAATTTAGCATATGCTCTAATGACAGACTTGTCGTGGTTATAGCTTTGCATGAGCGAGTCAAAGGATGATTGCGCTGCATTTGTTAATCTGGATATTTGCCTGTTAATGACTTGTACTTTTTCAATGTCAACATTTTCGTTCATAAGCTCTTTCCAAAAGGCCTTTTTAAGATTAAAGGAAAACGGTTATTGATGATGAACTACAACTATAGACAACACAAACCTTATGAAGATAATGAATGATGAGCTGCTTTTTGTCTAGTTTTGCCAAAATATTCTTCAATTCCATATGGTTCTTTCCAGAGCTATCCTTGCCATATAAAAATTCACAATCTTTTGTTTTATCGTTTACCAAAAACCGTCGAATAAAGTTATTCTTAAATTTTGCAGCTCTTCGTAAAAGAGTGGTTGAAACTGAAATACTTAGCATAACATTTGGATTAAAATATGCAACGATTACTGAAGCTGTTAGTAAAGACCCATAGCTCATCTTGGATATCACCCGTTGAGAAAATAGGCCCTTAATAAATTTAAGGGAAAGGTCTAGATCAGACAAACGATCTACATCATCGCTTGGATACGATTTGGAAAGCTTAAAAAAAAGCATTAGCTGTCTCTGCCGACTTTGTCCTTCTATAATTTGATATAAATAGGACCCATCACGCTCGAGATTAACAACGGCATTGTCATTGTCTCCTCTTACGACACGTGTTTCAGTAAGGAGTCTTCTTATTGTCTTTCCAATATATCTCAAGTAGATTTCCATGCTGATGAGCCCAACACCCAAAAACACAACCGCAAGCCCGAAGATTATTCCTAACATGCCTATTTTAACATTGTCGGCTATTTCTGAAATATTATTCACAATGCTTGAAATGAGAAACCCCAAAGCAAATCCAACACGAGCACAGTTCACTCCGAAATAAATAGTGTTTTCTATCTTTCTAAAGAAAGGAATAAGGTAAACCAAATAGGCTGAGTAGCATATCGACAAGCAAAAATAAATACAGGGAGCAATGAAGGCATAGCGCGAAGGTATTAAAGCTGCAAGGACAATGTACAAACAATGAAAAATTGTCAGTGGCAAGTACACCATGTTGGTTTCGGACACAAATAAATTCCTGCATGTCGGATTATTATCGAAGAGAATCATGGAGGACATGGCCACAATCACCATCAACACAACAAAGTAAAAACCGCCAACCGCCATCATTGCTGAGTTTAACGAACTCACACAAGCCACTTGCGTAAAATCTTTGAGGATCTCAAGCGGCTGATCGGCACCAGGAAGCAGCTCAAAATTTCCATAATCACATCCTAGTACTAAACTGTATGTGTATGAATAAAAAAGTGAGGAAAAGGTCAAAAAACCCATCAAGACTCGAGTGAAAAGCTTGATTTTTGGCCAATGCTTATTAGTTGTGTTAATGGCATACGTTGAAGCAGCCAACATGATCGCACATAATGTTATAATTACAAAGAACCCAATTAAAATACCGGTTACAGTTTCAATAGAGGAAACATCCAATGATAGAGTCACGGGGTAGTTGGCTACTTTGAAAACCCAGGCGCTATTCTTTTCCCAGTTCATTCCAACATGATCCAAAGCAGGAAGAAACATCATGGCCCAGAAGGTGTACAAAAGAAAGACAAGAGAGAACACGAAAGAGTACCAGTTCGTTGCCCGAATGCAAGACCTTTCTCTCAAGCTTGTAAATAACGAGGTTATTGTTTCCTCAAAGGATGTTATCAATGAAGTATTTGAGTACTCCGTCATGGAAGATTCAGAAGCCCCAGTGGAGCCGGCTGAAAGAACGGATGATGACTGATTGTAGCCTATTGCTGTTCCAACAATCGAAGAGAAACCCTTCTCGAATGTTCTGCTATCCCGACCTCCTCCAAAGCTTGATGACACGTCCATTCCTTTGAAATTCAAGGGTTGTTGAAGTAAATAATGAAGAAAAATGATGATAAGATGAATAACCCTAGAATTGAATACTAGAAAACAAACAAGCCTTGCTTGCAACTTGTGCTATTGAAATTATCTATAATTACTTGTAGTTTGGACGCGCGCTGGATACGACGTGGGTTTTTTTTGGGATTTTCGTATGATCACTCCTCATGAGCTCATTAAGGCAAATTCGGTACGAGAAAACAGCCTTTACGTTTGTACGCATTTAAAAAATGCGCAAGAATGAGGCTTGTGAATATTTAAGGCACTCACTTTTTGTGTGGATCCACCAAATTCGTTGGAGGCGGTTATTGTCGGTTGAATATTGCTTTGTGATGTGCATGTTTGAATTGTTTTGTAAATCCCATTTATAGTCACGTGGTCATCACAACAACAGCAACAACCATCCGATGTTGCTCGGGGGTTGTATTCTGTCATTTGAGAAAAAGGAATACAAATGAAATCGTATTTTCTAAACGGAGAGTGTCATGATGGTAGTTGACTCTCGGACATGTTCAAAATTGTTTTTCATCAACAAAAACTAGTTTAGCGATGGACAAACATAATTTTTTTTCGTTTTGTAAAGTTGATGACCATTCGCTTCTTCTCTTTTGTACAAGGGTCAGAAAAACAAGTCGACTTGTCACGCTCTTCGTTGGAAAAGTCTACAAAATACTACGTGTCCTCAGTTCCAAAGTGAACATTTACCTCAATAAATTTTATTGTTCGTCCTCTTCGGGATCTTCTTCCATCTCAGCAGCATATTGACGCAGAATAATTTCCTTTAAATCCAACTCGTCTTCATCTTCCTCCAATTGATCATTTTCCTTAAAAGCATCTGGAATGTCCAGAGATAAATCATAATGTCTTTCATTCGAGTCACTTGGAGTCATTACCAATGTTGTTTTTGGCAACTTCTTTGAGGAGGGAATTGGAAGAGGTTGCGGAAGCATCATGATGGTTTGTTTCCAATGAGTAGCTGGAGCAAACGGTGATGTGGAAAGGGTGACTGTTTTTGGCATGAATATGACATCAAACCAAATGCAAAATCCATGAACAAATTGTTGAGTAGATTCATCGGTAATATTGTCAATGGTAATGTGACACTCGCAATCAATGTATGTCAAATCGTCTTTTGTCACAGTTTTTAAATCTAGTTCCTTCACTACAATGGGATTTTTGATTAACAATTGAGATGGAGAAATAACGTCGACTTTAGACTTTCCTGCTAATTCATACATGGCCATGGGCATGATTGCGCTCATGTCAAAGCCATAGACATCTCCCCAAAAATCAATCTTTTCCTTATAGAGATTATTCATTTCACATGGAGCCATGTAAATAATGGCTTGTTGAGGAAATAAATATCCATGTTCCTTGTCTAACCATTTATCTCTTGCATAAATTACTGACTCTAGCATTCCCTATGGATAGTTGAATAATTATTAAAAACATGACAAGCATAAAGATCAATAAATTTTAAAATTCACAATTACAACCCAATATGAATGAATAGAATGGTTTTAAATTTTGTATACATACTTCATGAAGCAAGTAAAATCCCATCCACTCACTAATGATAATATCAACCTTTTCAACACCCAATTCAACTTGCTCAATTTTTCCATGAATGACTTCAATCACATCTTGCATATTGTTGTGCTCAACAAAAAGTTGAGTAAAAGTAGCCATTGGGCTTGCTTCCACTGCATAGACTTTTTTAGCACCACCATACTTGGCAGCAAATAAGCTCAAAATCCCAGTTCCTGCTCCCACATCTAGATACATTACAGAAAATTTACATCAAATTTAATATTACCGATGATATTCCTTGTTCATCATCACATACCCAACACCACTTTATCTTTAAAAACGTGTGAATTTTCAATAATAGCATTCAAATATCCATCGGTTCTAGGTTTGTCTTTGATCATGAGTTCATGCACACCACAATCAAAATATGAATTGAAATACTGCTTATCATTTTCGGAATGATGATGTTCCAATGCTGCTGATTCCACACCAACACCTGCACTACTGGTGGTCATTGCATCATCATCTTCTCTTGTTGTTTCACTCATTTTTTCAAAAAAGCAATTTTTTGTTGAACGGACCAAGAGTGAATTTGAACCAAGTGAATGCTCCTTCAAAGCACAGAGAAGATGTTGAACAAAGAAAATCAGTGCTTTGTCGAGTTTGTTCAAACGCTCCATTTATTGGTGGCTGCCAAATAGGAGTTGTTATACCAATTCTACGTTTGGAGAATCTTGGAAAGTCGAGCTGGAAGATTTCTTGATAGCTTCATGTTCCATGTGTTGGGTTGCGTTGGATGTCATCATTATTGGTGATCGTATGGTCTCTTTTAACTTGCCGTAGAGTCTCTTTTTCTTGGAGATTGGTTTGGTTTTACCTCTAAGACGATTAACAAACGTAATAATAGGTCGAACTGTAATCATTCGTAGCCATTTCACTCCAGGACCTAGAATGAAAAATCTCTCAAATAAGTAGCTCAATAACATATGGAAAAGCACACAACCAAATATTGTAACTCGATAATAGAATGGCATGCTCTTCAAATATAAGAACCAACTCAAATTAACGTCAGGGAATAGAATGGTGTAGGAACAAACAATGAATAGGATAATGAGTAGGAAGAAATAGAGTTCTGTGCACACAAGTGTCATTTCAAAAACAAATGCTTCTTCGAATACTTACTGTTTGTGTAGACGGATTTTTTGAATGGTTTTGAAATACTGTACGCCAGACCTGTGTTATAAGTTTGGAATGTAGACATCAAAAACATGACTGTGGTTTCGAAACATCGAATGTTCTTCTTAGTTTCAGGATGAGGGTCAAGTGGTGTGAAGAATCCTTGTTTCTTCAAATTGTCGAGCATGACTAATTGGAAAATGACAGAAAGGAAAAATTGGAACCCCATTGAAACAAACACTTCTCGAGAGACAAGAGATGCGGAGGGTTTGTTTTTCACCAAGTTCTTGTTGGCACCTGTTCTTCCCATAAGTAATGCCATGGTGAAAATGACCAAGCCGTCAACCCATAAAAATTGGTTATCTCCAAGATTACTGTTAATGTCATAGAGTAAAACAACAGTAAAGAATTGAATCAAACTGTAACACATCATGAATTTGAACATTTGGAAACTGGTGGCCAACGCAGCTTTTCCTTCCTTAATAACCTGTGGTACACATGCAATAGTCGGTTTTAAACTAGTAAATGGAGCTGCAATAGAAGCTTCAGCCTCACTCAATGAGACACCAACATGAGCGGCTTTTAGGGCTATTCAATAGTACATGACAATTAAGATGGACACCACAAAATATAATTAAAACATAATATTAATTCTGATTGATACTTACCTCCTGCATCATTTGCTCCATCACCACACATTCCAACAAAATATTCTAACTTTTGGAATTCTTCAACAAGTCTCATCTTCTGATCTGGTGTGAATCTGGCAAAAATTTTACACATTAACAACATTCTATGGAATACGGAAGGCTTTTCAACGTTCACGTATTTTGTACTTCCCGTCATTTCCAGTTTGAAAGTATGTTCCTTAACTAGTCTTTCAAATACGCTGCCTGTGATCGCTAAATCATAATCGAATCCAATGTTTGGATTTTCTGGCAGCAAGGTTTCTGGATCCAATCTATCATCACCATCAACATCTTTCCAATCAATATATTGTTGATTAGAGGACCCATAATCTGTTTCTTTGAGCTCTCCCAAGAAAACTTTTCCAACAGGACGGGCGATTCCACATTGTCTGGAAACGCTAATAGCTGTAAATGCATTATCACCAGTAACCATTACGCTTTTGATACCAGCATTAGACAATGAATGGATAACTTTCTTTGAATCTGGCTTCAGCTTATTTTGCATGCAAATAAATCCAACAAATGTCAAGTCACATTCAATCTCTTCTCTGGACGCTTTTTGGAGAGCTTTCCACGTCTGTGAAAGCTCTCGGTATCCTACACTAATTACACGATAACCCTTGTGTGCATACTCATAAAGTACTTTGGAGTAGTTAGCTGGTAATGTTTCAGGAATGCACAATTTTTGCATCATTTCTGGAGAGCCTTTCACAAAGCCATATGTCTTGTTGTCTTGTAAATTTTTAACAATGACTGACATTCTTTGAAGAGAAGATTTGAATTCAAACTTCTTCAAAATACCAAGTTCAAAAGGAAGTTTGGTGATGTCGATTTCTTGGGCTTCGATCTCTGAAAGTTCATGTTTGTGGTGGTTATGATGAGGCGGATGTACCACTGTTGGAATTACTGACTCAAACATGTAATCAGAGGCTTTAGGTTCCTTAAGTTTCCACTTGGTGGCCTCAAAGATTTTCACTTCTAAAGGATCTCCAACTAATTCAAAGTTCACATACGTTAATGAGTGGCATGATGCCATCGAGTAAAGCATCAGCTTTTTCTTTTCAGAGAGGTTGTTAAAATCAGAAAAATCATTTGCCACACACTCTTCTGTAATTAATTCTGAAAATTCATTGCCCTCAACTGGCCGAACACCATAAAGATCAAGACCCTCGGTAGTGATAGTTCCTGTCTTGTCAAAACACATCAATTTGATCATACCTGCCACGTTAACTCTTTGTGGAGATATGCAAAAGATCTTTGATTTTTTAAGCCTGGCAACCGCAAAAGACATTCCAGTGGTCATGGCCACTGGCAATGCAGGAGGAACAGTGATGGTGATCACATCCAAAGCTCTTAGCACAATATTGTCCCATGGAACGCCAGACAGAGCAAGCTTAATAATGGAATACAGAATACCAATCATTCCAATCATGAACATTACTCCGATAAAATTGAGTGAATCTCTGTAGAATTTGAATGAGGATGGTTTAGGAAAGAGAATAGACAACACTAATTTACCCTTTGCTGTGTCGAATCCTGTTCTGCAAACAATTCCCAAAACCTTTGCATCTCCCAATTTACGGGTCTGTACAATAAGAGTACCAGAATAGAGAGTGTTGGATTTATCTGCATCCACTGAATAATTTGTACTTCCTTCGTTGGGTAATGGGGTTTTTACGACTGGAATACTCTCTCCTGTCAACATTGCTTCATTCAAAATACATTGTCCTGACAATAATAAGACATCACAGGGCAAGAGAATGCCATCACTCAACACAATGACATCACCTGGAACAAGCTCTTCAGAAGAAACCTTTTCAGTACTTCCATTCTTGTTGACTCTTTCTAGTTCACAAGTATAATGAGCCATATTTCTTAGTTTAAGTAAATTTCTTCTGGTCTCAATCAAACTGAAAATAATTGAACAAACAGCAGAAACAATAATACAGCAAGAATATGACCAATATTCATCAGCTAGCCAAATAATAACAGAAATAATTTGGAAAATGTAAAAAGGGTGTAACACTTCATCCAATAGCAACGAAACAATATTTTTAACTGGAATATCAATCAAGTTCTTTCCAAAAAGAATTCTTCTTAGTTTTCTTGTTGGTGGAGTCAATCCAGAAGACATTTCGTTGTGGATAGTGGTGTAAGGGAGAGATGTGTTAAATTGCAGCCTTTTGAATTTATCTTCACTGACGTCATAAATATATTTCACATAACGGTATGTGAATATTCTTATACTTGTTTCGTGCGAACCACTCTAAATTTAATTAAAATTCAATGAAAATTTCGTTCAATCATTCATCAACACTTACTGAATGTGCACTCAAATCATGCTTTTTGACTTTACAGGTTGTCAATGCTCCAGTACTGCTCTATAGTAATTATTGGTGACAATTTTGAGTTATTCGCCATTTTAAACAATTTGCGGAAACATACTTTGATAAAAACAATGTCAGCTTCAGCATTTGAACATTCCAAATGAGTCATCCGATCTCTTAGCCACACAAACCATCTTGAAAGAAGTAACAACAATCCAAAGGAGCAAACTGCCAATAAATAATAAAGGAAGAATAAGAACCAGTTGAATTTCAGTGGTTTGCAATAAACCATTGTATGAATTTCATCAAGGTCTTTTTGGGAAGCCATAGCGTCCTTATCCATGTTCTCTGAGGCCTTTTGTGATACGGTGTATTTTGCCATGATGGCTTCATAGGTTACTCCATCGTCTATTTTGTGTGATCCAATTTCATAATTTTTGAAGATTTTCAAATCCGATTTCGGATCATACAAAACAACATTAATGTTCGAAATAAATTCAATAATAAAACGCACCGACTGAGCTTGTTGGAATCATCGTGGAATCATTTCCCTGATTAGTGATGCTATGATATAACCCACCATTGTTCTCATCATCATCATTCAGCTCAATAGACTGCAAAGAAGTATCCGCCATTAAATATTTTTTGCTTTCTCTTTTTGAGATATTAAACATGCCACCATCTTCGGAACTAGTATTTTGATTTTTGCCCATTAATTTTTGTCTATTCAACAATATCCCAACAATATTTGATGACTTTTCTCTGATAACAATAGTAGCAATAACTCTCACTATGAACTTCCAAAAAAGATGAAGTTGAGAATTTTTTTTGAGCAACACGTTTTACGATTTGATTCGAAAAAATCTTTTGGGTTCAACAAAGGATGATGAATGAAACTGTAATCATGCACCTTTTGTGTTGAAATAAAAACTGATTGAGGCAAAACCAATGGTTCATGGACCTTGGACCTGCCCTCAATACGTTCAAAAATTTTGTAAAGTGTTATTCGCTTGCCTTCTTTGACACAAAATTCCGTTGAATAAGAGTCGTGGTATATTAATAAGGATTAGAGAACCCAATCCAAACATTTTACAATGGACTTCAGCTGAAATAGTCAATTCATTGAACACTAATCATACCAAGAGAGATGCGTCAAGGAACAACCATGTCAATATTTGTGGATCCAATTTGACGGACTTGATGACCAAAGAAATCAAGTGTTGGTTCATTATATCCACTGCATCAATGATCAACTCTCAAATCCGCAGATTCTCAACTATCCAAACGCATCTCTTTCACAGCAAACAGAGACTCAAAGGGTGTTATCATTGGATTTGATAAGTTCAATAAATGGATTGGTCCATTCATTTAAATAGTGAATGTTGCGCGTGTGATACCAAATTCCATCCAAAAACAAAATATAATACTCTTCTAACACTCATTCTCAACATGAACAAGATTCCTTCATTCATGAGGAGCACTCTTGTTGCTCTTGTGCTTGTCCTTTCCCTCACCCTGTGGTCATCATCGACCTCTCTGGCACAAGATATTGTCTATGAAACCCATCCAGTTCCAGTCTCACAAGATTATACCAATGCTTTCGATGCTGCCGTCCAAGAGATGATTATTGACCAATCTTTCATTGATGCCTTCCGTAATTACATGTATTTCCCTGTTCCTGCCTGTGTGAAAGATTTGGTCCAATATCCACAGATCAATCCATTTGCAAATCGTAAAGCTCTTGTCATGTGCATGGAAACTGGAGTCATCTCTCCCTATTTGGAAGTCAAGCGAATGGTTGGAAACACCATTGTCAAGAAGATTAATGCTCACTATGGAGTGAACTTACAAGCTCAATTCAAATATCTAAACACCTCTGGAAAGGGTTTTTTCAACACAATGAAAGACGGTGTCGATTCAGGTGAATGTGATTTAATTTCCTCCAATGTGACTCCAACGAATGAGAGAGTCTCAGTGGCTCATTTCCAATGCAATTATGGAATGACTTCACAGGCTTTCCTTCGAACCAATAGGGATCCTCATCTTTCTCTTAAAACATTGCAAGATCTCAATCAGACCAACATTGTGGTGGGTGCTTCGAGAGGGACTACTTATGAGAATGTCATAAAAACTCAACTCTCTGCTGCTCAATATGTCCCACTCGATGATGGTGATGTTCCCTATGATGCTATTAAGAATAACCAAGTGCATGCAGTCATTGGAGATGGAGTGACGTATTTAATTTGGGTGAAACAGAATCCATCGATTTGTCAGAACTGTACTGTGAATTTTTATAACTCACCCTATGGATATGGAACGTTTACGACGAATAGAATTATTGCTTCATCCTCAGCTACAAGGAGTTATTGTGGTTCTTGTTTCATGAACACTTGGAGTGGTTATTTGTTGTTCTTGGGAATGGTCATGTGGATGATGTACATCCTATAACATCATCATTGATGAGTCGTACATCATTCATGAATCGAGATGCGTTGTGGATGTTGTTCATGTGGTGTATAATAGAAGAAAAAAGGAAGGTCTTTCGACGTGTCCTGTCGTCAAACTTGATTTTTATTGCCATGAGATGCAAAATTGTTCCGAAACCGTGACACGGCCGTGTTGAGAGAAATAAACACGACTAACACTTTCCTTCTTCAATTTTCACAAACGGCGTGGGCAACCTTTTCTTCGGCGAATTGAATTCAAAGCGCATGCGATTACGCAATCTTGAGATCCAGAGAGAGGACACATGTGAGTGAGTGTGTGAAATGTGAGAGATTCAACTTTGATGACGATGCAGACCCGGCCTCTGATTTCCAACGTTGGACATCCTCTCTCGTTCCAGTTCATGGCCATTCAACAACATCTTTAAAAAAACCAACCGTATAGTCAACAAACAACAAGAGCAACAGCCACTACCACCACCTCATCCTTATCATGACCACACGTGTCTGTTTCAAACATTCAAACATTCCATTCTCTAGTTTCAAATTTCTTCTCATTCTTCTCATTCTTACTGTATTCACCACCACCACTTCCTTCACTCTAGGTCAAACCATTACCACTGATTACGAAAGTCACACCGTTCCAGTCTCTCAAGATTATACCGATGCCTTTGATGCTGCTGTTCAGGAAATGATTGTCGACCGAACCTTCATGGACTCTTATTTCAATTTAATGTATTTCCCTGTCCCTGGTTGTGTCAATGATCCTGTGAAATATCCCAATAATAATCCATTCGCAAATCGCAAAGCTCTTGTCATGTGTATGGAAATACCATTGTTCAGAAAATTAATGCCCGCTATGGTACACAATTACAAGTGCAATTCAAGTATCTCAATACTTCACAGTTGGGTTTTTTCCAGACCATGAAGAATGGTGTCGATTCGGGAGAATGTGATTTAATTTCATCGAATACGACTCCAACGGATGCAAGAAAGGCAGTGGCACATTTTCAATGCAATTATGGAATGACTTCTCAGGTAGGTTCAATTTCATTGTGGTTGAATTTCTTTTCATTGAGTTCGAATTGAAATTTATATATTTATATATTTATATATATATATATGGAATGGATGAATGTATATACATACATATGGATGAATGTGAACGCGAATGTGAACTTTTTCCACATTGTGTTGTTTCCTAAAGGCTTTTATTCGAACCAATAAGGACCCAACTCTTTCTCTCAAGACCTTACAAGACCTTAATCAAACCAATGTCGTCGTTGGTGCCTATTCTGGAACAACGTATGAAACACTTGTCAAAACTCAACTCGGTGCAGCAAAATACATCTCTTACAAACAATCCGATGATCAATACACGAGTATTAAAAATTCAGAAGTCCATGCAGTGATTGGAGATGCAGTCACTTTTCTCGTTTGGGTTCGTGATAACAAGGATATATGCACGAATTGTAGTGTTGTCTTGTACACCAATCCATATGGATATGGAACATTTACAACCAAGTTGATTGCTTCTGGAGCGACACGTTCCGTAGAATTTGCATTCTTTTCACACAAGATGATGGTCATGTTGTGCATGATGATGGTCACCATCATGGGTTTGCTCACTTGGTCATTATAACCTGATGAGAAGCCCTAACTGATGATGTGAAAAGAGTTCCTAACTGTTATATTAAATGTTGGTATCAGCCATTTACCATAAGAATCTCAATCGACCACATTCAAACGTCACTCATGTTTTGCTCTTTATACATCGCGCTCGATTATTGTGGTGCCATGAAAGGTGTCATGTACACCAAAAAGCAAAGTCAAGAAAATTCGCGCCAAGTCAAAAGTCAAACCGTTAATTTTTTCAAATTGACATTGAAGCAAAGCAAAACCAAGTTCTCTTGGTGGAATTGACCTGCCATCCAAGAAAAATCAAATCACACAAGGCAAAGAAAATTTCCATGAAAATTAACAAGCACGGAAGAATGTACCTTCCTGGTGAATCTCTTGAAGAGGAACGCAGGCTCAATATTCTTCACCAATATGAAATACATCAAATTTTTAGTAAAGTGGCTGAAATTGTTGGTGTTGATAGAAGAACAGTGGAGAAAGTTGTTGAAATGTATTTACTTTGTTTTCCACAGAGCACTATTAAACTTCTTACTCATGATTGTCTTCTGAAACAACTTGGCCCAACTTTTGGATGACTGGTCCTCCGAAACAGGGATTAATCATGGAATTGAAAAGATCAAAGGTTGGTCGTGATAATGTATGTTGTGGCTGGTGGATGAGTTGGGTTCAATAATTTCTACGTCGTTGTCATCATAATCCTCTTTTTGAGAGTTGCAATAGGTATTTTCAACAATGTGTTGATTATGTGCCATGTGTTGTTGTTGTTGGATGTAACGACTGGTCTTGCAGACATTGGTGAAAAAATTTGGTTTGCTTTCTCTTGCCATGGGACATCATATTTCTTCTGCAAGTCTTGCTTGCAAATGGTTTCTTGCCAGGAAAGAAGTTTTATTTTCCGGAAATTGCCTTCCATATTTGCCTGTACATACCTTTCATGGCACCACAATATTACACACTCAAAAAAAAATTTTTCATGTCGTGGCCAGATTTGATGACGACAGGGACGGTAACCGAAGGGACCACTCTTCAGTGGCGGTCGTCGTCGTGTTTTGTATGGAAGAGAAACATTTCAACCACGATGATCATCCTCAGCGTGTGTATCATGGTCTCTATCGCCGTGCTGTTATGGTCTCTCTCGGGAGTCTCTGCAATTCATTCTCTCTATTTGAAAGAGGAGGAACCCAATTTGTTGATCCATTCCAATCTAGAGTCGCTCATCAAGGTTTATAAACAAGAACAGAAAGGTATTTCAGCATTAACAAAGATTATGGATGAATCTGTTGCGTCTACTTCCATAAGAGTTCATGTGAAATTATACAATCAGATCATCATGACAAGTATGGTTTTGAAACAATTAGCTCAGCTCATGGATAAGAAAGATTATCGTGATGACTTTCAATTTTGGTCTTCCGATGATGAACATTGCATAGATATGCATAAAATATTTACCACTCGTTTGACACTTGCTCAATTGAATGTTTTAGGAAATAACAAATTTATTCAGCAACATGTGGAATGGATTAAGAAAGTTCCAGAACATGAAAAGACAACTTTTTCGAAACTCACGTTGGATGATTTGAAATTTGGAGAATTGCAAATTAATTTTGGGAAATTTCAAGACGTTTCTTTGTGGTTGAATCATGTGAAAAGTTGGTTTCAAACTCAGTACACCAATACCTTGATGAAACATTTCACAACTATTAATTTACTCGAAACACTTCACCAATTGCACAACACTCCTCTCGCAGAGGATATGATAAACGATTTTCTACCTTCACATCAACTTGTTCGAGAGAATATGGATCGAGTTCGACAATGGCTCGAAGAAAAGATTTCATTCTATTTTGAATTAAATTGGGAAGTTAAAGAGAATGGAAGAGCTCATATTTCTCTCAAAAATTTAGACACAGGTGTTTGGCATTTACTACAGAGAGATACATCAATGAAAGACCATCCTTCAATACGAACATTGCAAATGCGTGAAACCATTGAGAATGCTATGAAAATGATTCCTTCATTGTCCATTCTGTGGAGTGAAATTTCAGAACATTTGGGAGAACAATTATTGAGCTATTTAAAATCTCTCGATTCTGTCGACTCTATTACTCGGGGTGTGGCCTATAAAATCGATAATTACGGATCCAACCAAGTAATTCAATCAGGAGGAACCAACAATACATACTTGTGGAATTATGGAATTACCGGAAAAGGAGAATTAATTGCACTGACAGACACTGGTGTCAATGTAAATCATTGCTTCTTCTCAGCACAAGGAGAGACCTATACTACCTTAAATCTTAATAATCGAAAGATTGTCTACATTGATACTCAGAATGGTTATGGAAATACAATTGATGACAGTGGACATGGTTCTCACTGTGCTGGAACCATTGCTGGAAATCCCTCTTCCTTTGTTTCTACAAGTGTGAATAACCAAATTGGAGTTGCCAAAGATGCCAAGCTCTACATTGTCGATGCTCAATCTTCAGCCTCTTCTGGTCTCACTATTACTGACCTTCAAGTTTTGCTTCCAAAATTACTTTCGAATGGTGTGAGAGTGAGTTCAAACTCTTGGAGTTGTGCAAATCCATATAATTGTGATTATGATTGTAATTGTTATACTCTTTTATCCAATGGAACACAATCTCCAGTTAGCGACAGTTCCTGTATTGCCTACAATGGAAGAAGATGTTGTCATTACTGCAATTTATATAATTCACAAAGTTTTGCTATTGACTCTGTGTTGAGTAAGAATGATGAGTTGACCTATGTCAATTCTGCTGGTAATTATGGACGTTATTCGTATGATTCTACAGTGAACGATCCTGCTACAGCAAAGAATGCCATTACTGTTGGATCTTCTTATTCCACGACCGAATATTACAAACTCACCATTTCACAGAATGTCAATACGACTGTGTATAATATGGAAAGTTTGAGTGCATGTAAGTATATGGTTGAAATGATGACAAGTGAATGATCATTTCACCTCTTCTATTTTCATGTTTCGAATGTGAACAGTTTCGTCCCGAGGTCCAACTGTGGATGGAAGAATTAAGCCAGGTAGGTAGGAACATGTGTGTTGTTGTTTTGTTTTAACCAAGTGATGACTCTCTGATTGACCATGATCATGATTAATCACTTGTTTGAATCATCCATGAACTTTTACAATCATCAACATTTACCTTATTATTCCATTGAATTTCATATACCTATTCGTGTTTGTGTGTCAAATCGTTCTCTCTCTCTTGATGACAGACATTGTTGCTCCAGGACAAGAAATTTATAGCGCTCATTTCAACATGAGTTGCAATATTCGAAGTTTGTCTGGAACTTCCATGAGCACACCTGCAGTTGCAGGAGCTGCTGCCCTCATTCGACAATATTTAACACAAAACAATAATGAGAAACTTGTATTTTTTGAATTATATAACAAGAATCCATCACAGACATTGAGTGGATCTCTTGTGAAGGCAATGCTCATTCACTCGGCAGAAAAGATGAATGGAATTGTCTCATTGTCGTCCTTTCTCGATCCACAAGGTCTTTCACAATTTCAAGTTCCAAATAATTTTTATGGTTATGGAAGAGTGAATTTGAAACGAGTATTGAAAATTGAACAAGATCCATCCTCAGTTGCCTTAATAGGAAATATAGGAGTTGTGAATCGAATGAGTTTGGAACCAAATACCAACACTTCCTTCAATGTAGTGACAACCTCACCATCCTCAACCATTAAGGTCACTCTGGTTTGGTATGATTTACCAGGATCTGTCACTTCCAAAGCTTCTTCGACCAAACGAATCATCAATGATATTGATTTAAAGGTCACTATTGGAAGCTCCATCTATTATGGAAATATGGCACTCACCAATAATGCCAATTATGATTCTACCAACACGGTAGAAAGTGTCACCATTGATAATATTCCATCTCAGACCAATGTGACCATTTCCATTTTTGCAAAATCGACAAATAAGGGAGCTCAAACATTTAGTTTGGTGGTGAGTGGTAATTATGCAGTGAAGAGTTCACCTATTGCTCCTCAAGCTTTTGGATCTACAGAAGGTAATGGAAAAGTCAATCAAGCACATCAAACGGTGAAAATGTCAGAATTTGGCATGTTCGTCTCCATGCTTGTCTTGTTATTGATTTGGATGTGCGTTTAAATTCAATTTGTAATTTTTGACAAATTTATACATCAATGAAAGCTAATGAATACAAAAAAGATTTCGAATCCATTACTCTTTGATTCTTCCAAACTTATTTGTCACACGGCATGGGATTGGCTTTGACAAGTTGTTGTCAATTTCTGAAAAGATAAAGAGCAGAACTGCCAGTTCTTGCTTGTGTTAGTTTTTGATGAATTTGATCATTAAACAATTCATAATGATATTAAATAAAGCTTCAAATGGACAGAGCAGCTCGAATATTGAACCAGATTTCTTAATATATAGTGAGCGTAAAGGCGGAAAGGAATTATAGATTTGATGGAACACCTCTTAATATTCCTTATTTCTTCTTCGAATCTGTTTCTAAAAGAGTCCCATTTAAATGCATGAATGAGTGTTCGGACAATAGTAAGGATGTTCACCAAATTGGAATTCACTAATATTCAACACCTAAAAAAATGTCATCATCAAGTACCACTTCTTCTTCCACAACAACACAAACAACACAATATTTTCCAAATCCACAAAAACGGCAATACTATCTCAATACCTATTTCATACAGCCAAAAAAAACAATTCCTTCTTGCAACAAGTGTCAGAGCAATGAATTTGTCATTCCGAGTGTGAGAGGAAAACCAGCATCTTCATTATTACAAGATGCAGAAGAAGGATATGTGTATTTGAGTGGATGCTGCTCTTCTGCAGATGGATATTGTGTCAAGTGTAAACAGGTAATTAACGAAAGAAGATAAACTTGTACAACTGAACCCATAAGGGAATTCATCCATCAGTAAAGAGTGGAGGACATTGAGTTAATTGCAAAAGCGCTTCATCGAATTCAATTTTTTGGTTGAAGGTGGTGCATGTACTCTTTCACTGGGTTGGAATTACACCCTCGGATCGCAACTATTCTGTTTCTTGGTTGTTATTCAAAAAATTGATCGTATGAATAGTTTACGTATTTTTTTAATTTATTCACGAAAAAGGCAATTTGTAGTCGTTTATAAAAAAATGAGCGCCAAAGCAACCACCAACCAACCACTCAAAACAAAGAAGCCTTCTTCATCGGGATTGAGTTCCAACATCACGAATGATAGTAGTAGGAGAAATACAAGAGCCACTCCGATCAAAAACTCTTCAACCCCACCCTTATCAAAACCAGCAAGTGCTGGAAAACAGCAAGTAACGAATCGCCAAAAAGAGAGTAATAGCGAGGAAATGAACGAAAAAAACGAAGTATCAACAACAGAGTTTTATTCATTAGAAAATATGGAACGAGATGTAAAGAGAGGAATGACAGGGGTTAACGAATCAACCGCTGTAAAACCAACAAGGATTAGTACCAAACTTGTTGCTGAACGATGTCTCAGCTCAATTCCGAACGATGAAGAAGAATTGTAAGTACAAGTTTTGTTGAAAAGTTTTTAAGAGAATTTATTTGTTTTCAGATTTAATCAACTTTTCATGATTAAAAAGTTAAAACTGGATAGATGTAATATAATGAAAATTGAAAATTTGGATTTGTATACTCACCTCACTCATGTATATCTTCAGTGTGTAAGTGTTTACAATTAAGGACATCAATATATTTAGGTTGATTATGAATAGAATAATATTTCTGAACTAACAGACGAGTTTAGATATCTTCCTAACTTAATTTTCTTGGCGCTATTCGACAACAAAATTAAGAAGATAGGAGACGAGTTAGTGGAAAACAAAAAACTTCAATATTTGGATTTATCTAATAATTTAATAGAGGAGTGCGATCTTGATAAACTCCCACAAAGCATCACAATTTTCAATATTGAGAACAACCCTCTAAAGCTTGAAGAATGTTATGTAAAATCATGTCTGACGAATCTCTTTCAATTCAACAAGAGAGAATACATTGATGAAGAGTTTGTTCCTGAAGAGAAGCTTCCGTTTGATAGGAGCACACTGAGCCAAATGAGATCATCTCAGTCTGGATTGGATTTACTGAAAAGTGTTCCCAAAAAAGATGTTAAAGAAGTGGAAGAAGGTATTCCTTCAACATCTACTTCGTTGGCTGAAATATCGAAGGCTAATTCGGAAATAGTTGAAAACTACAAACAAGCTTTAATGGAAGAAATGGAGCGTATTAAAAAGGAATTCAAAGAAAAGAAGGAAAAGTTAATTGCTGAAATTCAAGAAAGAAAAAGCAAATTAAGAGATGAAACAAATGTGTCACACAGCAGCGACTCATCTAGTGAGTCCATTGAGGAATAAACCTTCCAGTTTATGGCCCTGAATATCACAAAGATTCATAAGCTCTGATTGATATATTTTGCAAATCTAACCAGCTCATTCCTCATTTTGATATTCTCTTGAGCTTTTGCTAGTTTTTTCTTGTTAATTTCTTCTAACGTAGTTGCTGGAGTGCATGTTGTTACTTCTCTTTTTTTGAAATAATGCTCTACATATTGATCGATGCATGATTTCAGTGAATTATCAATTTTGTCAAAATTTATCGATGGTGCTGTTTCTTCATCTTTCATACTTTCTGCTTGCTCAATCAACTCGTGTAAATGCTCTTCTATCACTTCAGAAATTATCACACCTGGAATACTTTCCAATGAAATATTCTCTGAAGAGCCTAGATATTTTAACTTGTCCTCACGTTTTAAAATTTTCATTAGAGTATTAGAGATTGAGTTGACGAGATTTTCCTCCCTTAGTAGTTGCCCTCTTTTTTCATCTGATTTTTTCAACTGGTTTTGAAATGTATTCCAAGCTTTCTTTCCTTGTCTCTCACAATACTTTTGTGAAACCCAAATTTTGTCTTGAAAATTTTCTATTTGTACTAAATATTCATAATCTTCGTCATCAAATTTGCATTTTCTTCGGGCTAACACTTTCTCAATATTAATTTTATCTGTATTAAAATTGGATAAATCTAAAACAGCTCGTTTTCTCTTCTTCCTTTCACTCAGACAAATCTTGCCCTCTCGCAAACTATCATCGGAGAAGTATATACATCAAATGGATGAGCGGTAATGACATGTTATATGTTCCATAATGGTGATGAAGGTTGAGTTGGCTATTCATGGATAACAAACCTTCTCCATATTCAATGTCTAATCGTTCCAATGTCCCAGTCTTGTCATCAATTTCAATAATCAGAATTTCTTCCTCTTCCGATATTGGAATAATTTTCTCAAATTTTGTACTGCTTGATTCTTCATCTTGTCGGTTGTAATCCTTTAATTTTAAGCGATCACTCTCCGATAAATCATCCACAGAAGAGATTGGCATGGTGATATCAAACATGATTTGTTCCTTTGTTTTCATTTTTTGCTATTCTTTCAAATATAATTCTTTTATCAATTTATATAATTAAAAAATAAGAGAAGATGATGTCGAATGGATCCAAGACACCTTTTTTCTCACCTCTTGGCAAATTCAAGAGAAGCCTCTACCGAAGAAAATTGATGAAACAATTCGGAAATGATGTTGATTTATTTATTGAAAAATTTTCAAAACCTAATGTCTTGTCTCTTTATCGGGAATGGATCCGAGAGTTGAATCGAACGCTCCCTTTGGCTCTCCGAGAAGTGAGCAAACAGGTAAGTAAAAAGAGCAAGACGACCAATCTCTTCTTAAATAAGTGTGAAATTATTCTGTACTTCTTCATAACTGAACAACAACAACATGACATTGATCACGAACAGAATTTAAGAACGCATTTCGAAGCCACAAAAGATGACTACAGCCCCTATTTGATCTTAAATGAATTGGAAGCAGGTCGGTATGCTTTAGAATTGTGGAAAAAAGGAGATCGTCATGCACTGAAATATGGAATTCCAAGACAATTTTCTGTTTATCGGGCAATACGAGAACAAAAACCCCCTGATAGTAACGCGTACAGAAGGTACACCCCCTTCCTCTACTCACTGTAAATAAATGTACACAAATTATAAATCCTCCTAGAAAAATTGATCCTTATTTTGTAATTGCGAAACGTCAAATGAAATAGATCTGTTATGGAAAATATGGTTGAACTTCTTTCGTTTCACTTGTCTGCTATCAAGTTCAATAAATGCTGTTGGTAAAAGACCACTGTTTGTCTGTTCATCTTCATCGTCCTCCTCCAAAAAGTTATGCAGCTCTGATTCGTCCATATCATTAAAGTCCATTTCCTCATCAAATACTGTAGAGGGTCTAGCATTCTTTTGTCCACTTGTGGCACTGTTGTTGCTTCCTTCTTCATTACTATTCTCATGAATTAATACCTCGTTTTCAAATTCAAAATTGTCAAAGTTGGTAAAGCTTGAACCAACTTGGTTAATAAGAGTGTCCTGTACATCAGATAAAACTGAATTGGGTCCTTCTGTTGCATCAAAAGCAGAAGCATCATGGAAGAGATCGCTTGGAGTAGCTGTTGAGTTTGGCGAGGTAATATCGATGTTTGGTATTATTAATTGGCTTGGAGTATCTTGCGCCGTTGACTTTTGTACATTTTCTTTTGATAATGGAATGACATTTTGTTGTATAATATTTCCATTGTGTATCACTAAAGGTGTTACGTTCGTATTGGAAAATGGAAAATTGAGGGAGAACGGAGTAACATTCGACGATGATGGATTAATGAAAGTGGGAAAAATAGTTGGTTGAGACGATGGATGAGGTGGTGGAAGTAAATGTTGTTGCTGGTCATTCGATCTGGGAGAATTATTGCCAGAATTACTCGATGTTGCCATTGGTGACAACGTAGGAGGAGCTAACAAAGAATCCTTTGGCTCATACTTAAAGTTTTGATAAAAAACAGTGTCTGAGAGCGATCTTTTGTGTTTAGACCTTGAGGAAGTGTCATCTTTCTTGGTAGTGGGCTTTTTTGTTTTCTTAGTTGTAGCCTCGGTGATTGGGCAATCTGTTGATGATGCTTTTTTCTTTTCACGCGCAATCAGAGAGTTGAAGTGATTTTTACAAGCATTATCAGTTCTTCCAGGAATTTGCTTTGAAATTTCTGCCCATTTGTTTCCCAACTTGCGTTGAGCTTCCAATAACAACTGTTCTTCTTCCTCAGTCCAAGGCTCTTTCTTGATACTTGGATCTAAATGGTTATACCACCTTTCTCTACATTGCTTTCCAATTCTGCCAGGCAAATGAGAAGCAATCATACTCCAATTCTCTGCTCCGTAGGTTTTTACAAGCTGAAGAATAGTTTCATCTTCCTCTTTTGTCCAAGGGCCTTTAACAAGATTCGGATTGAGCACCTTTTGCCATCTGTGTAAACATTGCACACTAGTTCTGTTTTGAAGTGTTTCAGCAATTTTCTTCCAATTTTTTCCTCCATAGAGCTGCACGGCCCTACGAAGCATTTCATCCTCTTCCTCTGACCAACCTCCTTTTTTTGATCGTCTCACAGGACCAGTTCTTCTTTGATTTGCCGTCAACATCTGACTTCTTTTGTCCTCATTTTCTGGATCGTTGTTGTTGGTGGTATCTGTGTTCGTTGAGTGACCATCAACAGAAACAGACATTTGGTTGGATGGGCTTGAACTCAATAATGAATCTTTCATTGGTGAAGTTGAGTAAAGATCAAGAGCAGGAGTGTTGTTGGTGTTGTTGAGGATATTTACAGATGGCGATGTGGAAGTGGGGATGAACATGGGTAATGATGATGCAGCGTCATCTTCTCCTCCATATGAACTCGTTGAATTCGAGAGAGAAGCATGGATATACGGACCTAACACTCCATTCGCAAGAGTTTCAAGTTGCTGTTGTTGTTGAAGTGCTGCCATTTGCAAAAACATAGCAGCCTGTTGTTGTTGAAAAAAGGAGAATTGCTTGGCCTGCTCCTGTTGGAATAAAGCAAAGTCGTCCACATCAACTGCATTGTTGTCCATTGTTGTGGTTGTTGTGGCTTGAGAATTGTTTGGGATGATCGTGATGGGCATTTGAATTGGTTGTAAATTGTTGTTATTATTGACGGAGGTGGTTGCGATCCCGTTCAAATGTTGTTGTTGGGAGAGTAAATGATTTTGAAAGAAGATGGGGTTGCTCATCATCATTTGATTGTTGAGCATCATTTGATTGAAATTTAAATTGGAGTAGTTCTTGTTGTTATCAATGATGAAGGGTGTTTGTTGTTGGGAAAGAAGGAGATTGTTGGAATTTGAGAGAGAATTTGATGCTCGTGGCGGAAGATGGACGCGTCCATTCGTTTGGTGATTCATCCTTTTTGGATCCGATGAATCAGAGGCAGCTGATGATGAAGAATTGATATGATTATTGTTCATCGTGATGATGATGCTTATTGTTTTTGATGTGAGAAGGAATTAATAAACAATAGTGTATTTGGCTATTACAAATTAATGTAGAGCGAATAATAGGTGTTGAAGAATAATGAAAAAGGATATGTACACAGAGAGAAACAGGTAATGATGGGAATGATCTGTCGAACGTGAACTTTGAATAAACGTTGTTTGATTGGAACCAATTACAAGAGGGACGTGCTCTTCGTGTATGTTGGTATTCAGCACCACAACATGAAAACGGAGAATGCGCCTGCTACACACGCACGAGGAAAGATAGGGTGTGAGTCGTCGTAAATACAGCCAACTGTTGATGATGAGATTCAGAGGCCAAATAGAGCGTTTTTTGAGTTTGATTTTGAGACCAAGAATTTTACGCATAACACAACCACTGCAAGCCTGTTTTTAGGCTGATGACAGGGAGATGAGACAAAATGCGAAAAAAGGATTTTTCAAAGAAACACAGAACGCCCAATTGGATTGTTGTTGGAGCGTTTGACTTCAGTGAAAAGAACTGATAAGGAGCAAAGCAAATTTGTTTGAAACTAGACATTCATCCGAATTTGAAAGGAGGAACTTTTTCAAAGTAGAAGAAAAGCTTCGACAAAGTCTGATCACCACTGTTTATTGGTCATGGGCCACGGAAAATACCTCCAACTTCAAAATTGCTTTTTGCTTCCCGTTTGGATGGAAATTTCGATCATGATGTAACCATTATTTCTGACTAACCATGACATAAATTCCTATTTTCCTTCCGTGATCTCACATTCAGAAAGAGACTCTCTGAAGAAGCACAAAAGCTTACAAAAAAATGATGCAAAAAGCCAACCACCAAAAGTCCTCTATTCTCGGACTTGTTTGGGTGGAAATTTTAATCATGATGCAACAATTATTTCAATTCATAACGTTTCCATTGTTGAATGCATTCAATTACTTGTACATAAAAGAACATTATATTAATTTATCAAACTCAGACCATATCCGAGAGTCAACACATCACAAAAGACGACTAAAAATTGTTCATTTAACTGATTTTCATTTTGATTATAGGATACCTGCTGGTAGCCAAGATAACAAAAACTTAAATGATGACCACTTTTCGTTATTTGAAAAATTTAACGCTTGGTGGAGATGGTTACGAAGAAATATTCGATATCATAGGATCAGCCACTCACAATTGAATGAAATACTATTAGAAATTGAAAATATTCAGAATATTGACTTGATTGTCATAACTGGTGATATATTTGAAGATTTTTCAAATATTGATATAGATTGGATGATTGAGAATTTTCTGTCAAAGCTTAACAATTATTGCTCTCTCGGAGTCTATGCAGTATTGGGAAATCATGACGAGAGACATTGCTCTGAAAAAGACAGGGACGTTCTCATTAAAAAGCTAAGCACTGCTATCACAGTTTTGGATGCTCACTCTGAATTCACAAAGCACAAGTTCTTTACGACTATTACAAAAGCTACAGAAGATGCATCTTTTGATATTGAAATTTATGGATTTCTTGATTTTTACAACACCCACTTTTGGGAAAATTATCACAAAATTGTGAAACACCTCAATGAAAATCCTGTAAAAGAGAACACTTTACGATTTCTATTGAGCCACAACCCGGACACAATTGCTTGGATAAAGAATGATATATTTCATTTTGATATGATCTTCAGTGGTCATACACATGGAGGACAAGTATGCTGCCCCATACCTTCCTTGATTTTGAAAAATGTTTTAGCTCTCTTTTGGAGGATATACATTAAGGATGTGTCATTTGATCATTTCTTGCAAATTCACTTTTCTTTTGAACAGGTCCACCAGATGAATGAGGGAGTCTTTACTTACATTCCAATAATTCCAATAATCATTTATTTGTACAAGAAGGTTTGTAGTATTGGTCATGGTGCGTTGCATTAACAATCCTATGCCCATGGCAATTTTCTCTGCCATGTTGAACAATTCAAGGCAACGCTATGGACTTTTGTGAGGCACAAGATCAGCAAACTGAAAATAGTACAGAGAATACTAAATGTATGCAAATACTGGGAGTGGGGTACTGGTTTATTTGAATTGAAGTGGCAAGATGACTCTACCCTTATCGATCGAGTGTTTCACCACCACCAAAGAGTTTCATCTCTTCAACAAGAGATCAATATTGCTTCCAGTGAAGATGAAAATTTTATCAAGCTCATCTTCCGTACTTACAAAATTGACAGAAAGCAATTTGTACATACTTCCAGCGGATTAGGCACTCATTATCCCATGCGATTATTCTGTCCTCCAGAAATCTCAATTCTCAACCTCAGTTTTTAGGGAGCATCTCACTTCCTGTTTTGGTCCCTACATTAAACCAGTGCGTTTTTGGAAAACAAAAAAATGCATACACTCAACAAAGCAGCAACAAACCTCCTCAATAAGTCTTTAAAGAAGAACAACAACAGCAGCCAGGTGATCCGAGCATTGCTTCAGGGCGGATTAGTCAAGCATCGAACGAAGAGCCGACTCGATCAGTTTTGTTCGGATTCTATTTGCAAACTACATCATGTGAGGTTCTTTTCAAAAAACTTGTCTCAACATGTTGAAACTCCGAATCAAACAGAGACATCCTCTACAAAGTCCATTGGAAGCATTTACATTGAGAGAACGAACATCGGAATTTTTGGAGCAATGAATAGCGGAAAATCAACGCTCATGAATTGTCTTACCAAATCAAACACCAGTATCGTGGATGCAACACCAGGAACCACGGCTGATGTAAAGATTACAACAATGGAAATTCATGGTATTGGACCAACAAAATTATTTGACACTCCAGGTACAGATGAAGCTTCGGAATTGGGAGAAAAAAAGAGACAAAAAACAATCACGTCTTTGAAAGAGTCAGACTTGGCTGTGATTGTCATTGACCCTTTTAATTCGAGCAGCATTGTTCAATGTAAATGGCTCATGAACGAATGTGAAAAATACGGCAAACCATTTTGCGTATTGTTCAATGTTTCAGAGGAGAAGAGAGCTGAGGCAAAGATTGACAATTTTAGTGACAATTTAGACAGTATTGAGACAGAGCTTAAGATCAATGAATTCGATCAGTCCTCTGGAGTTAACAAACTGTTTTGTGGAGCTGTTTGTGTGGATTTACAATCTCAAATCGCTCACTCGAAATGTATCAAATTTCTTGAGGATGGATATAGGAAGAGCAAATCGAGAGCCGATCTTGGTCCAGCTCCATTGCCAACAAAGCTTCTTCCAAAAATGGAGGAAGACAGCACTGTTTTTCTGAACATTCCAATGGATGAGGAAACTCCTTCTGGACGATTACTAAAGCCACAAGCGATGGTTCACGAATATCTTCTTCGTGAGTACAGCAATGTATTTTCGTATCGTATGAATTTGAAACATGCAAGAAGTCACGATAAAGCTCTGGTGGAGAAGGAACGAAAGCGATTTGTTGATATGGTAAAATCGCTCAGAGAAAGAGGCAAGCTCAAACTCTTAATAACAGATTCACAAGCAATGGATATTGTGCATCCGTGGACCATTGATCCAGAAACAAAGGAAACTATTGTGGATATCACTACTTTTAGTGTGATCATGATCAATTTTATGAGCTCTGGTCGATTACCTGAGTTCTTGAAAGGTATTGAGGCCTTCAAAAATCTTAAAGCTGGAGATTCTGTTCTGTTGTGTGAGGCATGTAATCACAATCGAATTGCAGATGACATTGGAACAGTTCAAATACCGAGAGCTATTGAAAAACGTTTTGGAAAGGGAGCCATTCATGTGGATACTGTCTTTGGAAGGGAGTATCAATTAATTAAGGATCTCTCTCAGTACAAATTAATCATTCATTGCGGAGGTTGTATGATTGATAAACAAAAGATGAACGCTCGACTCACTGACCTTGCTAAAGCTGGAGTGCCAATTACGAATTATGGACTTCTCCTCTCGTTTCTCCAGTCAGAACATGCACTTGCCAGAGTGACCAAACCCTTCCTTCAAGTAGGCCAATCCCCATTTTCTTCTCAAGAAAGATCTAAATAAAACTCCATGTTTTTGTTCCAGCGTTGAACCTCTGAGATGCATTTTGAGAGAGAAATGCACAAAGAGCAATTCGAGAGGTTTTCTCTTCAAAGGAATTCCTGTCCAATCCAAAGAGCCACAGAAAATCCAATTCTCGCGAGAATTGCAAAAAAAACCTGAAAAAAAATGTTGAGCAATTTTGGACAAGCACCACAACAACCAGCACAACAGGCTTTTGGCCAACAGACTTCCAACAATGCCATTTCTCAAGACCCAACCTATCAAATGTTATTGCAAGCGATTCAGGTGATTCATAATGCTGCATCACCTCCCCAACAAAGAATGGAGGCTCAACAGGTATGTTCCGTGATGATGAAGAATGTTATTATTTAATGGAATGTTGGAATGATGATGATAAATTTGTTCCGAACTCTATTAATGTTATAGTATGTGGAGCAGTTTAAACAAACGAATCAGAATAAGATTGAATATTGTTGGGCTTTCGTTGTAGATAGTCAACCTGAAGAGGTTCGACACTTCGGGTTACAAATTTTACATTATATCGTAACAAAGGAATGGCCTGGAGTACAAGTAAATTTTCAAACAACTCAAACACGGTCGCGGATATCTCAATTACTGTTGGAATATGCTGCCCGAGGAACAAGACACATGCTAGAAGAAAAGCTCTTTATCAAAGAAAAATTGGCTTCTATTTTTTCATCAATCATTGAATTGTCATGGCCTAAAATGTAAGTTCAAAAAATTGCAAAAACGAATTAACTATTGAGTCTTGTCAACATTTTTCATATTCAATAGCTTGCCAGATATTTTGGAAAATGTTGTGAAATTGACATCATTAGGTGAAACTCAGTGTGAAATTGCAATTTTCGCTTTGAGATCCTTGGCACAAGATTTAACCAGCGATTTCTCAACAGATATGTCTCCAAATAAGAGAAGAGAGCTCATAGAAAAATTACAACCAAAAATTCCTGATATTTTCTCCATGACTTTCGGATTGTTTGATGCCGCTTTTGGAGCATATAAGGCTAGAACAGACCAAAAGTCATACATGATCAATCAAAAATTATTAAGAGCTCTTTTGGATATGAGCATGGCATTTGTTAGTGACTGGCTTGATCCAGCTCATTTCTTTAATCACAATATTATTGATATTTGGATAAGCTTATTGCATGTGGATGAGTTTAAGATGGTACGTTTAAAGTTCCATAATTAACAAATTCATAATTCCATGATTATCAATAATAACTAGGATGCTGGCCAGTGTTTGATTTCTTTTGTCGATGTATCATGGGGAACCAAAAAAGAGGCGAACATGGCTAACCATATGTCCTTACTTTTATCAAAATTATGCGAGAATGCTAGGGCAATTTTAAGTAAGGCTAACCCTAATAATCTTGAGGAGGAATATGAATTCCACAAGGTTCTCTCCAAACTATTTGTCACATTCTCTCAAAAACAGCTCAAATATTTGAATGAAAGACATACAGAAATTGTGGACAAGTAAGTGCAAAACTTTAATTTGGTTATAATTTAACAACAACTAATTTCAATAGTTTTTTGACAGTGGTTTTGGAATTTGACAAGCATCCATCAATTGTTATTTTCAATGATACTCTTGTAGTTTGGAATGGACTGCTAAGTAATCCAAAGATACCATTTAGCAATGCACCATTTCTTGGCAAATATTTTGAACCCTTACTGCAGGTAACTAGAATGAAGATTACTAAAGAAATAGGAAATCCAGATGTGGACAGATTTGAGAATAATCTCACTCACCAATTGAGTTTGATTGATTTTGAGGATAAAAAAGAGTACTACCATGTTCATGGTTCTATGAGAAGTCAGGCTAGATCTCTCATTCAATACATCACTCAACGAGTTGTAAGTAATTACATTTATTATTGTCTTACTTTGAAAAACATTGTTTCCATCTTTTAGCCATTTGAAAGTGTAAAATTTGCTACATTGGAAGTTGAGCAAGCTCTTAAACTCAATACACCCGATCCAAAAGATGATAAGGGACCAAATGGTTACTGTAGCGTTTTTAGCGATGCTTATCTTATGTGGGAGTCAGCTGTGACTTTCTATGAGTGGGTTATTGAATCTGTAACTAACGATAAGGTTTCTGCAGATGAACGGATTATTGAGGCAGAGATGTATCTCCTTGGGCGTTGCCTTCAATTTTCAACAGAAGATGCACTCATTCAAACAATATTTGTGAGATTATTCAAGTCGTTCTCTCACCTCAATAAGAGAAATAAGGAATCCTTGTCTGCAATTGCCACAAATTTATTCAAACAGATGCAATTCCGACCTTCAAAGGAAGCTGGAAAAGCTGTTGAAGAGTTAACTGAAGATACTTCTACTGCCAGACAGAAAGCACATACTACCTTCATTAGCTTATGCCAAGCAAACGCAAAAGATTTACCAGAATATTTGAAGCAATTTGTAGATCAAGCTGAACAGCTGTGGAACAAGAAAGAAATTCTAAGCAACGAATTGATATTGATGTACGAGGCATTTGTTGTTATTAGCAATGAATGGAAAGATTTGAACCAACAATGCCAATTTTTGGATTATTTATTGAGCCCATTAATCAATGAATTGAATTCTAATTTGTATCAAGAGGTGTGCGGATCTGTAGAGCTACTTTACAAGGCAGCTGGAATTATTCCAGAACCAAACCAAGAAACAAAAGCCAAGCTCGAAGAGATCAAGGGTAGAATTTTCCACATTCTTACAACAGTGACCAGTTTGGCAGAAAGAATGCCTGAAAATCCCAAAGATATGGGAATGATCGATCCACAGACAAAAGAAATCAAATATCCTATCTCAGCATATATTTTAGAAGTGTTACCAAATGTTCTTTCTCTAATTAGAACAATTCATATGTGCTATACACCTCAAGGACAGCAATTAGTTCCTGAACAAGTGCGAAAGTACATTTTACATATTGGAATTGATGAGCAGTATATGGCCAAGGGAGAACAATTTGTTGCTTCTAAAGTGACACAAGAACAGTATGCCGTACATAAGGTTCATTATTTTGTCACAAACTTGAGAAGATTGTCCTATTTATTGCTAGGTCAAGCATGTAAATATTGCGAGAAAGCTCGTTTCTGGGGAAATCCACAACTTTTCCAAATGTTATCAGAATCTGTTTTTTCCTTCATGGAGTTTGTGACAATTAGAGATTTATCCGTATTGACTAGTAATTTCTTTTCGAGCTTCTTTGACGCTTGTCCTGCAGAATTACATAACACTCTCCTTCTTGAAATATTGAAGCCACTTTTATCACTAATGACCGCCAGAATTGAACAAGCACAAAATGAAATATGTGATAAAGCAGGTTCTCAGCGTGGTGGTGACGAAGGTGTGTTAGATGAAATTGTGAAAGAAAAACACCTCAAAGAATTGTGCTCCGTATTGGTGAATATTTTCTTGAGGGCTACAAATTCCATTAGAATTTCAAAGGACAATCTCAAGCCAAAGGCAGACGTTATTTGCACATTTGTAATCTCGAGTCCTGATCTTATTGGTTTAATTGTTATGCTTTTCTGCAAAATTATAGCAGCCATGTTGGATCCAACAAGTGTGGTGAAGTGTGTTATTATTTGTGACAGAGTTGTTAGATATTTTAGCAACTCACAAATTCAAAACTATACCAATTTATTTGCAGGAGAGTTATTCTTTTCTCTCATCAAATCATTGATGACCACTGTAGATGAACAATTACAGGATTCCATCATCTCCTTAATTTCGTATATTTATGCCTCACTTCGAAAAAAGACCAATATCATGAAGGACATTTTGATTCAAGTTCCAACCTTGACACCACAAAAAGTGAAACACTTTGATGATGTGTTCACGCAAACACAAGATGAAAAGGAACGAAAGAAAAAGGCAAAAGCTCTCTTCTCTGGAGTGTGTGGAATGAACAAGGGAGCACCATCGAAAACAAAATCAGTTCTTGCTCTTAATCAACAGCCATCAACAGAAAAGAAGAGTGCAAAGAAGACATCCTTCCTGGATGACGCCACTGTTTCAAAACTTGGAGACTTCTTCAAATAATACTACTCATTTTGAATTCGAAATAAATAATGTGTCAATAATTATTATTGTTGCATAAAACTGACCGATATGGCTCCTGCAACATGCTTACACCTTGTCCACTTGCTGATCTGGATGAGCCTTTTTGAATGCTTCCAATTCCGAGCATGCTTGTTCAATTCGAACAATGTTTGGGAATTTGCTCATGTCCACATTAAATCTCTTGGCATTGTATACTTGTGGAACGAGACAAATATCGGCCATACTGACCTGATCACCCACACAGAATTTTCCGCTGTGCTTTTCCAAGACCTTCTCCACAGCAACAAAACCATTTTCAATCCAATATTTTCCCCAATTTGATTTGGCAGCTTCGTCCGTATTGAAATCTTCTTTAATCTTCTTCAAGACTCTCAAATTTTGAATGGGTTGAATATCGGAAGCAATCATTTGACAGATTTGACGAACCAATTGCCTCTTGTATGGATCAGAAGTGGGCAACAAGTGCACTCCCTGATCACCTCTCGTCTCTTCTAAATATTCCATAATGGCAATGGATTGATTCAGAGTGTGTCCATCAATTTCCAATGTCGGAACGAGTTTGGATGGATTTCGTTGTGCATAGTCTTCACTCGATTGTTTAGATTCCAATAAATTCACAGCCACATATTGGTAGTGAATTTCCTTGAGTGCAAGAGCAATCCGCACACGCCATGAGCATGAGGATCTCCAGTACGAATAGAGGACAACCGGCTCTCCCGAAGACATTTTTTCATTCAATTTCCATTCACTCCACTATTGAAAGGGTATGATAAACAACAATTGATGATCCCCTTCTCGAAAAAACAAGCTGCAATGTCCCTGATGAGAATGTAATCTCTCCAAGGAATTCGAATTAACATGTTTGATTGATTACGAAAATTTTCATTCACCCGAGAATTTTTCAAACAACATTTTGGCGCCTTGTTTATTACAAGTAAAAAAATATCATAAAAAAAATTGGTGGTTTTCCAATCAGATCAGTACTGTCGGACCTTGAGAGAGGCTCGCAACGAAAAAACATTTGATCTACTACAAATAGTGTTGTTGTTGTTGTTGATTCTTTAATACATCCATCGTACTAGTAACAACCCGAGTGAGAAAGAAAGGTTGAACATGTTTTCTCAGCCTGGGGTTATTATGAGGAGTAAATTTAACTCACTCATCAATAATAATGATGTCGTTGCAACAGATGCTTATTCAAATAGTAACTATGGAGGGAGCGCTAACACGTTCGGAAGGGAGATGGACGGATCATCATATACATCATCATCACTGTCTGCTTCCAAACCGAAGACTGTTCAGAAATTGCCTTGGGAAGAGCCACAGCAGCAAAAACCGGGAAGTACCAAATTGAATTCATACAGGGTGACCAACTCAGTCCATACAGGGGGCGTGCAACCATCAACCATTAATACAAACATGAAACAGTCTCGGATTAACAGCGGATCAAGTGTTCCAATGTTTGTAGACGACAATGAAAGTGATACAACCCCTCGTTCTTCGAACAATGCAAATTATTACGAAGAAATTTCAAATTCATCAAGCACAAAACAATCTCTTTCTTCAATGTATTTAGCTAGTAAGAAAGCTTCATCTTACTCTGCAGTTACTTCTATGGAAGAAGAGGAGTCTCTGGAGGCCAAGAAGGCGGAAGAACTAAGAAAAGCCAGAAAGCAATCAGCTCCTCCAACGTCGAAACCATCGTCGAAGCCACCATCAAGAAGTTCTTCTAGACAATCCACAAGAAGTGAAAACGAAGATGAATATTCTACCGAGAACGTGAGAGGATCAGTTCAACGGTACGATTCCGCAATTAAGGCAGTGGTGAACGGAGCTGCCTCACCAGGAAAACCACGACTGAGCGCCAGCAGAACAAAACAGCCAATATCCGGAAACTCAAATTCATCCATTCAAACCCCAAAAGAGCCATCTCCAAGTGTAACAACAGCAAATGCATTTTCCAAGCCAAAAAACGTTCAAGAAGCAGCTCTTCCTGAAACAACAAGATCAGTCGTAGGATCCAAAAAGACTTCTCACACATGGATTCAGGCAAGTGTGACACCTTTAGATCTTTATCACAAGACCTTGGAATTAGAAAACATTGTGGTAAAACCGGAAGAAAAACCTTCACGCCCTAAATTCAAATTCATTGCTCGGAAATCAGGAACCACGGCATTTGTTGAATCAACCACAAGAGGAAAACCATCTGTGGTGTCTCAATCAAGAGATGCTTATGCAGCCGCCCAAACTAAGTCTGTTAGCAAGTCAGTTCAGCCACCTCAGAGACCAGTTCAACAACCGCAAAAACCAGTTCCAAAAAGAGCACCTCCACCTGTGCATGACGAGGAAGAGGATGAAGAGGATGATTCCTATGATGACGAGCAAGAAGAAGAGGAAGAAGAAGAAACACCACCAGTGAAGCAACCACCAAAAAAACAAATTACCTCTAAGCCTCAAACAAACAGCTTATCATCTTCTAAAAAACAACAAGAACCTCCATCAAAAACCACAAAACCAACAACTAAATCTGTACCACAAAAGCCCATTCCTAAGGAAGAAGAAGAGGAGGAAGAAGAAGAGGAGGAAGAAGAGGAGGAGGAGGATAATCAAGACGGTACCGATGTGAACAGCATGCAAATTAAGGCAGTTGGTAATAAGGATAGTAAATCCTTGTTCGAACAAATGCTGGAGGCAGAATTAAGAAGAGGAGAGGCAGTAGTCCAAGAGCAAGAAACCGAGAGAAAATGTCCTCATTGCAAGGAAGAGATTCCTGTCAAGATATTCGCAAAGCACAAAAAGCAATGCAAAGAACGGCATGAGAAGAAACGAAAGGTTTTCAAAGTTGACATTTTGGACGAAGAACTTGCAAAAGAAGCGGCCAAAGTGAAATCAACAGCTCCAGTGAAAACCAAGCCAAATAATTGGAGAAGAAAACATGAAGAATTTCAACGAACCTTAGGCAAGGGAACAAAGGATGATAAGAATGGAGGTGCGTATGATTACTACGAGCCACCCGAACCCGTTGACGACCGAGTGCAATGTGAATACTGTGGACGAAAATTCCAAGAAGAAGTCCACGAAAGACATGTTAAATCTTGTGCTGAACGAAACCTGAAGGCCAAGATGAAAGAAAGGGCAAACAGTGGAAAAACATCGTCGGTACAGCCGACCAACGGAGCTTCATCAGCTGGTGGAATCGCAAGGAAAAATTCTGTTTCAAGCTCATCTTCAGCTAGTTCTAGGCAGTCTTCAGGGTTGTCATCGACGCGTTCTAAACAAACACCGACCTATTCTTCTGCACGAAAATACTGACACGAGAGATTTGTGTATTTTTATTTATCTAATATTAAAAGCTCAAAACTGAATCATTTCCTTACAAAATTCACAAAAAAATGTCAAAATACAAGAAATACAGCAGTGAATCGAGTTCTTCCGATGACGAAGATGAATACTACAAGAAGAGTGGAGAAGTGAGCTCCGACAACAGCAAAGAGCCATCAAAAATTTCCACTGTTGGTGCACATCAATTTGGATGTGAAAAAACATCGGATACCGTTTTGAAAATCACACAAATGGCAGATGAACCTTTCAAACTGTATTGTCACAAAACATGTCTCGGGGCAAATTCTCCATATCTAAAATCTAAAATTGAAGAGCTTCCCATCAATGATCAACATGAAACCACCGTAGATAAGCCAATCTTAATTTTAAATGATTTAGACAGATATGACAAAAGAGTAATAACAATGGTCGTCAAGCATCTGCATGACAGCAATACCATCGAATTTGATCAGCCGATCCTATGCTTGGAGGACGTTATTACAATTGTTAAAATTGCGATACTCTTTGGTATGGAACAATTGGCTTCTCGTGCAAAAACAGCCTTGCTTGAAGAAGTTGGATCACATAACTTTTTCCAGTTGTACATTTTAGCCAAATCATATGCTCTGGATCAAATACTTGACGAGTTAAAACGTTGGATGACGAGTAGTCGTCCCACCCCCAATTTTCACACAAGTTCACACTTGATGAGAATGAGTGAATTCATGCTCATGGATTTTATTACTGAAATGAGTACTGTGAATGGAAGTGTGGCATATGTTTTCATGTCTGTTCTTGCTTGGTGCAGAGTTAATGTTCTTGATGTTAAAAAGTTGAGGAAAGTTTTGTCCACATTATGTGAAAATACGAATGATGCAGAAGTAAGGAACACTGTCTTTGCTTTTGTGTTTCCAGTATGGAAAAAGTTTTTGAAGGATGACGTATCACTCTCCGACGAAGCGTTTCTGTGCATGTATCATTCTCTATTGAGTAATTCCTTCGATCATTGATAAAATTGTAAATCAAATTCACATCACAGTTTCACTATTCAGAGCCACTTCCTTTTTCCGATTCTTCATTACTATTTTCGTTATAATCAAATGATCCAAAAGTTTTGTTCCATTCAATATATCGATGTAAATCACTTTGAGCCACTGACGGACGAATTGATTTAAGGGCTGCTTTGAAATCCTTAAATTCTATTGGTCTTAACTCTGAGGCTGCTGCATGTTTGATTTGTGAGCCTAAATCTCTGATAGCAAACATTGAAGCTTCTGCACAAAGATTTTTAATGTCACTACCTGAATATCCATCAGTTAAATCTACCAAAGAGTTCAACTCCTCCTCAGAAATCACGTGCGGGTTTTTTGAGAGAAGTCTTGCCAACATTTCTTTCCTTCCTTCTTTTGATGGAAGAGGTATGTACAAACGCTTCTGCATTCTTCTTCTCACGGCTTCATCTATTTCTTCAGGTCTATTGGTAGCACCAACAATTAAAATTCGATCTGTTTCGTCATTGGTTGAAGCACCATCAAGCTGAACTAAAAATTCTGTTTTTAATCTTCTGGTACCGCTATCACTATCCGAATCAGTTCTTTGGGAAAGTAAACTATCAATTTCATCAATAAACACTACAGATGGTTGAAAGTATCTGGCAAGTGCAAATAGAGTTCTCACTAATTTTTCACCTTCACCCACCCATTTACTGGTCAAGCTTGAAGCTGAAATAGAGAAGAAGGTAGAGCCACTTTCGTGAGCAATGGCTTTTCCAATCAGTGTCTATTATGATGATTTTAAAAAAATGGAGAGTAACACATTGGCAGCATTTAAAAACACACCAAGAATTATGGCAATGAAGAAAATAAGTATTGCTTACCTTACCGGTACCTGGAGGTCCAAATAAGAGTAGACCTTTGGGTGGTCGTCTTAGTCCAGTAAATAAATCAGGTCTCATGAGAGGCCAAATTACTGCCTCTTGTACAGATGCCTTTGCATATTTCAAACCAGCAATGTCATCCCAAGTCACAGAAATTGAAGAGTCTAAAATTTCATTCGCGATCGTTTCAATTAATTTTGGACTCAGATGAGAAAGTTCCTCAGGAATGACACCATTCTCAAATATTTTCGAAAGGTCAGCACCATCCTCGTCGTCTGTTTTTTTCTTTTTGGATGGCTTTTCTCCAGTGTTCTTAGAAGTGTTTGTATTATTGTTGCTGTTATTATTTGAATTTTCCTTATCATTGGATTTGAGTGGAGGAACGAATTTCTTTCGTTTTCCTGAATTAGCTGTTAATGATGTCACAGGATGATAATTGGATGTTGAGCTCTTGATATCACTTAGGTTTTTCTGCTTACTATTTTGCTCTTCTTCCTCTTCCTTTTCTTCGTCGCTCATTGGCTTGTCTCCCATCTTTTTCCTCTTATTATTTACCAATTGTCGAGCTGTAACAAACGATGATTTTGGTTTTTCTTCATCATCTACGATCATTGGGTCATTCGTTGTTGTACCTCCACCACTATTGCCACTGCTGGTTCTTCCATTATTGGATGATGGGCTCGGATTTCTCATAGTATTGTTTCCTCTCTGAGCCTTCAACGGAATGTTTCCATTCGTGCCTGTAGAAGGCTTGTTTGTGGCTACTTGTGAATTAATACAGGAAGAATTTGCTGTGTTTGATGATGAAGGTACATTTACAATTTTCGGACGTAAATATTCATGTTGTCGTTTGAATAACAAGGATTGAATGATGGGTACTTGTTTGCAAATTTCATTCTTGGAAACAAGTTTATAGGTTGGGGGATCAATGATGGTGTTTGATGAACACACTTGTTGAAAAGCGTGCTTTGAGAATAGTAAAAAATCATTGTTGTTACTCTCCGTATGATGAATCATGGACCGACAATCTCCATAACAATCATTTAAAATCTTGTCATTCTGCTTGATGTAATAGGAGGGCACTTCTTCATCGAGTTTGGTAGAAGACGGAGGTTTAGGAGCAAATAATTTTCGTTCCCGACAAGTTCTAATGGTTGCCAGCTGTTCCGAAAGTGCGAGCAAGGACGAGGAATTATTGTTGTTGGAGGATGATGACGGATTCAGAGAGGCTTTTCCGTTTTGCATTTTTTTTATTGTTGTTTGAAGTTCTCGAGATTGGTGGAAGTTCATCTATTCGCACTAATCCTCTTCTTCATCCTCATCGTCTGATTCTTCTGACTCTTCTTCCTCTTGGTAGTCATTATCATTCAGGTCATCTTCACAATCTTGGTTTGATTGTTCTTGTGCGACCTCTTTTGAACAAACTTCATCAATACGATTTGCTGAGGTGACTAAGGGACGTAATTTTAGGACAAGATGGATGTCCCTAACGTTTCAAAAATTGAAGGTAAATTCAAAAGTTATCAATTCTTCTTCAGTAAAAAACCTACTTTGCCATGAGAGTTTGCCTTTTAGCATGCAAAGCACATGCATTTGCGTCCTGCATCATTTCCACTAATACATCCTCACATGCATCATTTCCACAATAGTCCACATCCTCTATCATTTGCCACTTTTAGACCTATTTCTCGAACCACTCTTTGAAACGGTAATCGTGGAATTAGAAGTTCTGTACTCCTTTGATATTTCATGATTTCCTTCAGCCATAAAGTGCGTCTCGTTCTTTTGGTTGAAATATTACGAGTTGTTGGACGACTCGCTCGTGTGGGCCTGGGTTGTTGATCCGAATTTTCAGTCCAATTATTATTACTGCTGCTTCCGACCACCGGTGATCTTTGTGTGTCTAAAGAATGATCAATACTCCTTTGACTGTCTCTGGTGATCCTGTTCGGAACATTGTTATTCCTATTGATGAGGTTGCTCTGTACATTGGTGGTCCTTGATGAAACTTGTGAACTCGATTGTTGGACTGGGTTTGAAAGGGAAAATGTTGTTGATGTCTGTTGTTGACTGGAACTAGCCTGCACTGCAGGACTTCTCGGAACAGCAACCAATGGAAGCCTTTGTTGGCTGCTGGATGATGACTGTCTTTTCTCTTGTTCCGAGAAAGGAATGCTACGTCTAGCCATCATTGATACAGGACGGCTGCTACCGGAGGTAATACTACCATCGTTGCCTAAACTACCACTACTCATTGGAAAACTACTCGTTAAACTACTTCTCAAGGCTTGTTGAGAACGTTGCAGATCGTGATCGGACATGCCAAAGGCCTCATCAGATGATGTATCATCTTCATCTTGCACCGGATCATCATCATCGTCAATCACGATAACAACATCAGAGGCCTGAGAGGATGAACGCCCACTTTGCTCCCGAGACATTTTTTAAAAGCTTTCTATTATTTTCATAGGTGGTTAACCAGAGAGCAATTATTAGCCTCTTATTGCGTCATCTCTTCTTCAACAAGAAAGATTTTCACTGCTGTTGCTACTTGAGTTGGACTCGTTATTGCTACTTGCATTGGAACAATTTTCAGATAGTGTGGTCGTTGTTGTGAAGCAATTCATGGAGGAAATATCAACTGGAGACTCGTTGTTGCTTGACGATGCTTTAGGAACTTTGGATTCAGTCGTTTCCTCTCCATTCACACTCACCGTGGGAAGAGGCGATTTGTTTTTTCGTTTCTTGTGAAGTCTTGATTTAAGATGAGCTCGATATTCCGAATATCCTTGATGAGTGCTATTACATTTTTCACACCAATAGGTTTTGTTTTCATCTCCTGACTGATCTGATGGTTTTTGGTGAGGTTCCTTGACTTGATAAGAGTCAACAAGATGCTGAGGAATTTCTTTACCTTCCAAGAAGTGACGTGCAATCTGTGAGGCACTTTCCATAATGACGTCAACAGGTGTTGTTGATATGTCAAATCTGTAGAGAATTCCTTGCTTGATGAGCGGTAATTTTGCATTAGCCCATGAAGATCTATACCAAGTTTCTTGTTTTTTTGCATACTTAAAGGTTCCATTGATGAGAGCTTCTAAACACTGTTTCTTCAATTCACTCTTTTTCTTTAAAATTGATTCATCATTTTGATTTTTGTCACCAATATCATTGATTTCTTCCAAGTATTTCAGATAAGGCAGAAATTCCTTATATCCTATTGATTGTAACACGCCATGTTCAAATGAAATACTAAGCTTATCCTTATTCTTGAAAAGATACTCATGAAAGTTAACCACTTCTTGGAGGAGACCATTTTCCATCATTTGGACCGCTCTATCCGCAATCCGTTGTCTCAATACTCCTCGATTGTCACAAGCCAAATAAAAAAATAAAGTGTCATACTTCAATGTTCTTTGCTCCTCTTTTTTAGAGTCAATAACTTGGGTAAACACTCGTTGCTCTTTTTCATATAATAAAATTCTTTTTTTGATTTTTCGAATATCATTTGGGTGTATGAGAGCGGCCGACTCTGGATCTATTTCTTTAAGTCTTTCGTGTGTATATTTTTTTAAATCCTCGCTGTCGTCATCCCTTTTTGTCTCGTTATATTCCGCTCCATTCGATTCTTCGGCTGAACCAATCAAATATTGATCGAAAATTACAGATTGAATATAATAATTTGTTCCTCCACAAATAATTGGAACAACATCTCGTTTAAATAAATCCTTTTCAAATAATTCATGACAATCTTTCTTGTAATTTAAAACAGTGTAAAGCTGAGATCGATCTGATACTACCCCTTGCTTTTCTCCAACAAAATGATGTTTAATTTCTTTCAGTTCGGAATCACTTGGTTTGTTTGTAGTGATTGGCAAGCCTTCATATATTTGCATGACATCGGCATTGATGATGGCTGCAGACTTCCATTTCATATTTTCATGATCATTATTGCCATTAATCATTCTGGCTAGATGAAGGGCCAGAGCTAATAGTTTTAAATCATTCATTTCAATTATGAAAAAATTATTTAATAATTATTCATGTTGGTAATAATGACCATATTAATATTTCCTTGAAGAAAATTGAACTCACCTGATTTTCCAACTCCCGTACTTCCAGCACACACAATCACTTTTCCCTTCTGCGTGGAGTCCCGATCTTCCACCAAAGAATCCGAAATCGGCAACATTTTTTTTAATTCAAAAAGAACATTCCTTCGATTGTCGAATTTATTGAGCATATTCACCTTCGAACCTTGATGCTCATGGCCAACCATCCTAACAATCTCATCAGAAAGGCCTACGTTTTCGGAATGTCACATTATAAGGACACCGAAAACAACATTTTTCATCACTGACAGTCAAGTTGCAATCCAAGCTCTCAAAAAGAACTATCGAGGACAATTCCTCCTCTTCTATCGAGAATTTCAGAAAATAATTAGAGATAGAAATCTTCAAATTTCTCTAAATATCAAGGTCGACGCTCTAGCCAGACAAAGTCTCTCACAACCCACAATTTTCGACATCAGACAACTCTTTGGCAAACAACGACTCCTCACCAAGACAGGTATCATCATTTTCAATCAAAGAGAAATGACTAGGACCTTTCACTACAAGAAAATGACAACAAAATTAGATGACAATCCCAACCTCATTGATCATGTTCATCAAAAATCCCTCAATATTAAATTCTTGAAAGCGAAAATCTCACCCAATTACAAGTATGCAGTCTGGAGAAATATTATCGACTCTCATATTAGACACTTCACAGGCTCCTATTGCCCTGACTGTGAAGTCGAGTCCAATCTCCACCACTACATATATGAATGTCCAAAGCTTGACCCTTCGAGATATTTCTGTGAAATGAAGATCTCCTCTTTAATCTCCCAACCATGTACAATCACTGATTCGAATTCGTGGTTTAATCCACATCGTCCCATTCTCTACATCCATCACTCCGGTTTCCTACCCCAAGATAGTGATGCGATAAGGCACGTCCCAGCTATTGAAAGGAATTGGCCTGAAATCCAAGTACTGTTAGCCCTTTTCGTTGGCAAATGCCACAAATACTATTACTCTGACAAGATTGAAGACTAAGGACCTTGGGTCCTTAGTTAGAATCCCAATAAATTTTTTTTAATTCAAAATTTAAATCAATTTCAATTTTAAAAAATTTGCATCCACAATGGACAAGCTATTGAAGACAATTTCAAGAGAAGTCATTTCAGCTTTGTCTATCGAGATTTTAAAGAAGATATTTGGCCTTGTTAGTATCTGATGGAGGGAGAAATTCCTTAATCTCTTGCTGGACTTAATACAAGATTCTCATGATGAAAATAAGAAAGTTGAAACTACTGCACCTCTTAATGGGAACAAATTTCAAATACTAGAAGCGTTGAAGGAAGGGGAGAAGATGGATTTTCATCAGTTATCAATTGAATTCTATGCTGAAGAAATAGCAAAGAAAAAGTTGATGTTGCAACAAGAAGAATAATCTACTGCTCTTGTGGTAAGGAAGAACATTGTGACAGTCCAGGTCCAGCTTGATTCGAATCATTCGGCCGACCTTAATTGTGGGATCTTCGGCATATTTTGTCAATCAACTTTATTCAGCAGAGTTTGTTCGAAAGATTCGAATCAAGGTGGACCAGAAATCAGGACCCACGCGGTGGCACAGGGTCTGAGTGCTCGCATTTTTAGAAAAGCTCCCCTTGCGAGGGATCTGTTCCTATCAAACCAATTGTGAAAACTTTACTGAACGAAATCAATCAATTCTTAGTCTCTGGACAAATCAAATTTTGTCAATCAACTCTAAAAATAATACTTATTCAATTTCCAGTTTTACGTGAAGATCTGCTCGTAGTTGATCCATGTGATTTGGCTAATAAACCACAAGAACATTGCGACAGTGAAGGATCAGCGAAAAAGGGTACCTTAGAAGCTTAAGAAAGCAAGTGGGTGGGAGTGCAAATGGGTGGGAGGTCATTAAGCAACGCAAAGAGAGCATTAAAAGACAGAAATTTTTTGAGCAAGGAAAAAATTTTCAAGCTCAATCAAACTCTTTAATTGTTTACAATCGAACATTCATGCCCTTCACTTCGTTCAGAACATATCAGTCTCTTTGAAAATAAAGTATTTTCCAAATGATCAGTTTACTCCTAATGTTGTTGTTTTTTGTTGGCCAAATATTGTTCAAGGACTGGTTTGAGATGATCTCTTGGAACAAGATACAATGGGTTGTTCTTGGTATCAATGTACAACAATGATTGATCTAGCATGGGTTCTGGGAATTTCTGCGGATTGCCATGACTCAATTTGAAATGACGGACAAGATTGATGAGTGCCATATGGTTCTCGGTGCTTGCAATTCTACTTCCAGGACATTTACGAGCTCCAATTCCAAATGGCAAACTATAGAGTCATTATTATAAAGAAGGTTGGTGCGAGTGAGTGTGGACGTTTTCATGTAAAATATATACAATATATTGAAATTGAGTCATATTTTGTAACATTTGAAAAGACAATTTCCAATACATACCTAATGTACAAAGATTTCGGAGCGAGAGGAGAACCCTTCTCATGTCTTTCAGGAATGAATTCTTTGGCTCGAGGAACAAACTCCTCTTTCAAATTAGGATAATAATTCACCACTAACACTCGAGTATCTTTTGGAATTAAATATCCATTCAGTTCGGTATCTTCTCGGAGCCATCTACCACTGGTCATGTAGCTGAAAGGATCAACCCGTAAAATCTCTGCAAAGAAATACTTGGTTAATTTCAACTTCTTGTATTGTTCTTGAGAAACGTTAAGACCCATTTCAGAGGTAAATTCCTCTGGCGTTGGCTCTCCAAACACTTGAACCAATTCTTGATACAATTTTTCTTGATATTCGGAATGATGAGCCAATCGATAGAATTGATTGACCATCATTCTTGAAGTGATATCAACACCACCATTAATAAAGGCAGTCAAGACGCCTTCTACCTTTCTTTGAGGATTTTCCATTCCAGCTGCTCGTTCATCAATCAAATCTTTCAATCGTGGAATGTCAGGATTTGGATTCTTGTCAAAAGCTTTGATAAATTCACGACATCCAGTGAAAACTTTCAAAAGTAAGTCTTCCATCTCTTTGTATTCTATAGTTTTGTAAAGCTTGTATAAGGGTGGTTTTGTATCTAAGGTAATTTCAACATCAGTCGCTCTCACTGCAGCATCTACAAATTCATTCATTCGCCAAGGAAGAAGTTTTTCAACACGCTCATCCACTTTCACTCCGAGAAATACCTTAGTGACAGCCTTAAAGGTATATAACGAAGTGATATTAAAAGCATTGGGAATGAGATATTTGGGTTCTCCTCCATCACCATTGCCACTCTCATGACTCGAATCCACCTTTTTCAATTGATCGGCAACAATTCTCAAGAAATCTCCATTAAGTTCAGTGAGTTGAGGCAAACTGACCTTGTCTGAATGTTAAGGTTTCATGGCAATGTTAAACAAGGAACGAATGGGTTGCCAATCTTCTTCATAACTCATCTCAATGGGTAATAATTCAAGATTGTGTTGTTCCTTCACATAACGAAAGGCTATTAATTTATCTCGACGTTCTTCCTTTTTCATTAATTCTTCGATCAAATCTGGATGAGAAATAATGAGAATGTTATTCTTTGGGAGAGTCAATTTCACCATATATCCATATTGTTCACACAATTCCAAGAACCACACATTGGGTAACTTTTTCTTGTTTTTCAACAAGTCCCACAAATTACCAATGAGAGGAAGAGGTTTGGGTCCAGGAATGTCCTCAAAGGATTTGAGAGGACCTGTGGTTCTTTCTGTGCTTGCGGTGGAGCTTTCCAAAGATTGATCTGAAATTACAGTGCTGTTACTACGACTACTAGTACTACAACAAGTACTCATCGCGTTGGTGGTGCTTCTACTCTTGTGATAGGGACAAGCAGCAGCAGTGGTTGTCGAAGTGTTTGATGTGTTGTTGTTGAAACGAATCAATTGTTGATGAAATTTTCTAGTGGTGCTTGATGCGTTACTGGTGCACCACCACTTGAAGGCAACCGTTGTCAACAGCTGTTGGTTTCGAAAAGTGCACTTCTTCAATAACTGTTCCGATCGATTCAAGTTGATCCTCACCATGGTGCGAGAGAGAGATGCAAGGTTTTGTTTGTTATAAATTTTTTGAAGAGATTAATCAAGCTGATGACACATACGAAAGCTCATGTGAAGGTAAGAGTTCGTCACCGGACGGGTGTTTGTTGCGCACAACTGTCGCGTTTTCGTCAACCATTCATGTGATTGACCAATCGGAATTAGAGAACTTTTGCATTTTACAAAATTTGAAATTTGATCGCAATACATTGTGTTAACCTTCTTTTGGGCTGTAGTGAAAGGGATATTCAAAAAGAAGGTTAAACATACACGGATATTATTCAAGACATCTCTTTAGAATAACAAAATCATTCATTCGATAATGGTGCAACTGCCTCTTCCATGGCATCAAGAATTTCAGCAACAATCGTCGCAGTGAATCCCCACATGTTTGCATATGGAACCATTTCATTTCGAGTCACAGAGCGAAGATTGTTCAAATGAAATACTGGTCCATAATGTGTAAATGAAGAATTAATAATGGTTTTCCCAAGAGGTTCAAATCTTGAATTTTGAATCAAATCTAAAACTTTCACTTCAAATAAATGAGCAATCTCTTCAGTTTGGAGAATATAATGAAAATTTTCACCATTTTCCTCTTCATCATCGCCGATGGTGGTGCTGCTGCTGTTGATCAGTCGACCAATAAAGGGTTTGACATTAAAATTTCGTGCTCCTGTCATGGTCGTTGGAAGTGACTCGTTCAACACTTGAATATTTTGTTTCCCAATTTCTTCGTTAGTTTCTCTGATTGCTGTTTCCAATAAGCTTTGATCTACTTGTGGGTCAAACACTCCACCTGGAAAACTAATTTGACCTAATTTTCGAAGTTTCACAAGAAATATGTCAAAATATTCACAACAATTTCAGTTCAACTCTCAATTCAGCAAAATCATATAATTAGCAATCAAGACCTACCTGCATGCTGATAATTTGTATTCTTTTTTGCAGATGTTTTTTGCAGCAGCACCAAATAAGGTTCTCCTTTTTCGCCTCTTTTGAAAAACAAAACCATCACAGCTGAAGAACGAGCGGTAGGGTCAGGTCTTCTTGATAATTTGAGCTTTACTCCACCGTTATTATTGTGAACATAATTATTGTATTCATGAAAAGTAGGTCGTTGTTTTTCATTCTTATGAAAATCAATAGATTTTAACACTTCAAAAAAGTCAGACGAGCCCATTTTCAGAAAATTTGTCAAATTTGGAAATATTTCTTGTGTTTGGTCCTGTGAGGATTGCATTCGATGAAGACTTGAAGCATGATAGCAACGATGATGTAGACCTGTGGATGAAAATAATTTTAATTGGCATTGCGATGAAAAAGAAGATTTCTTTTGCACCAATTCTGGATTCCGAATGATTTGATGATGATGGTTTAATGTCAGACAATTCCGAGACAACACTACTGTTGGAGCATCCATGCTAACACTTTTCAAAGATGAATTGATCATCTTTTCCGAGAAGAGGCAAAATTTTTCACAAGCTGTGGATTTTATAAACATTTTTTTAATCACGAATTCGAAGCAAATAACAAAAACGTTCTTGATATTCACTCCGTCGACGTCACAACAACTCTGAGATCAAAGAGGAAAAATGGTCATTATCGACCTTGCTTGTTCCATAATCTGTACTTGACACTCGAGTATTTTCTCAATCCTTTTTCAACAATTGCGTTAAAGGTTTTTTAACTTCCAACAACTCCTCGAAATGGTATTTAATGTGCCATCATGCAAGATGTAGCTATTTCTTCTCTGGAGCACTACAGATATTCATCAGTTGTAGTAGAAATCAATATTCACAAACCATTGAAATGTAAATATCCATTTCAGATTCTTCACAACACCATTGAAGAGTAGTAGTTGTAGTAGTAGTGGATGACAGGTCTAGAGTTGTGTTCACACGTCCGATGATTCGAATCTTGAATCTGGTTTGATTCGTGCTCCGTTTATGCGCGGATAACTACTACAACTTCGATTTTTAGAAGTTAAGAACACCAAGTAAGGGTTTCGAACTAAAGACAGAGACCGATTGAAGTTTCTACATTCTCAGCGAATTTATCTTGATTTTGGATTTTGCAACCCTCATGTATGGTTCTTTACAAAGATCTCTGTAAGTCTGAGATGGCTTTCAACCTCTGGCGGTGAGGTCTTGGAAAAATAATATTACATTGTCCATTTAAGGCCTTCAAACGTTCTTTTGGTTGGTATGACTTGCTTGGAATTGCTTTGCTTGTTGTAGTAGATCAACTGTAGTTGATATTTATGTTAGTCCTTATTACTATTCCCAGAAAAAAATCACGCATTCTTTTGATATGATGGCGTTATCAAGACAAATGACAGGTTAAAGCGTTGTTAGTGGTTCAAGATGAAATTTGGTCCTGAGTTCAAGCAATGACTTTGTTTGCTGTGGTACCATACAATCAAACAGGAAAGTCATTGAAATTTCAAAATCTTTTAACTTCATGCCAAACCTAACATGTTTGCCACTTACTTTTTCAGCAGAACCTCCACCCATCAGCAACATGATGTTGTTCATCCTTGTGTTTTATAATTTCCTTGTTATTGTGTATTTGAAATTACGTGATGTTGTTAGTGACTGCTGTTCCCCTTCTTTGCCCCTGTTATCTCTCACTATCTTTACCCAGCGAGAGCCATCACTTGAATTGATCAATGATAACCCATATGGTGGACGTTAATTCCACAAAAAGAAATTCCCCGCATACAAATTCACAACTCCAAGCGAATATCCTACCAAAGCGAGCTGCGATTGGTGATTTTACCCTCATTTGAATTTGAAGAGACTCTCTGTAATACCTTACTCCAGATTCGACACGTCTCTTGATTGCTCCACAACATCACCTCGAGCTACAATGCACCTTTATCTTGGATGCATCAAAGCGAGAGAGAGAATATCGAGTGGCGAAACTTAAATGTCCATTCTGATCCATATTGCTCTAGAAGAACATCATCACAAAAAAACAAACTCAAACCACCACTCACTAAACAGCAACAACGACCCAACCAAATATCCTCTCGCTACCACTTTTGTCGTTGTCATTGTGTAGTATTGAACAAGAGTATATATATACTCTCTCCCTCTCAACCACCACCACCACCCAATCACAATCGACAACATTTCAAGTAAGATCTCTCCGCGGTCCTCTCAGAGTTATTGTTGTAGTTCTTGTATAGAGATTCTGACATCATCCCATTATTATCATCATCATCATCGTTATTGAGAGAGAGCTCTCTCGCCTTCTCGCTATCCTTTCTCTTCGCTCCTGATTCTTCTCGCGTGTATCTCCTGATCAGAAATAACACGACCTCTATTCCACCTTCAAATACATTCCACGTTATCCTCCTCTCCTTCATTCATTTCAACTCATTACCTGAAACGAGAAGTGTAGTTATCCCATACCCACCTAGTCCAACCATCTTCGCATTCATTCCACAAAAAAAGAAGATCTCAATTCTCCATATCAGGACATTGGATATCCCCCCTTATGCAATCTGAATTGAATTGAACAATACTCAAATACCAACCACCACAATACCCATATTTCATCATTCTCAGGGAAAACAAAAAACCACTACATGCTCGCCTCTACAAGTCCCTCTTCGGTCAATTATCTTCCACAACAACAACAACATTATCATCACCGTCAACAACAACAACAACAACACATGAACGCTATGATGGATCAAGAACAACATCTCCTTTTACCTTCCTTGAAGAAAGATGGTGGCAATTTTGATCAATTAGTACCATCTTGGTCTTCATCTTTGACCTCTTCTGCATTCTCTACCTGTATAAATCAAAATCTCCCACAAAGAACCCTATTAGAACCCAGTTTGTCCTCTGAAGTTTTGCAATCACATGCTCCACATGCATTCTCTCCTAATTGTTTTGAAATTTTCAAGTTGTCTCTCAACTCGGCCCCATCATTTAGTACTACAAATGCAACATCTTCCTCGACTACTGAACAACAACCAGCAGCAATGAAGAGTTTTGCTCCATCTACCTCTTCAAGTAGAAATTCGCCAGAAATCAAAGTGGCTACCTGCATCAAACCATTTTTGGAAGCACCTCAAGAGTATTCTGTCAAGTCAATACTGTGCGGGTCATACTCAAATGCTAAATCCGCCCTGATGACAAACCCAACAGCAACAACAACGACGACATGTACTTCATACAACAACGTGTCACCTCCTCCTCCAACAATCTCCAACACAACTCCAAACTCTTATCTTTCCTATACAAATCCAATTAATTATTCTCCTCACATTCCAACTAGAGTGACCCCTACTAGTAGCAGTTCAATGATTGTTTCAAAGTCTTCAGAAGCGAATAATCCTCAAAATTGCCAAATGGCCATGTACAACATGCCATACACTTACTCAGCGGCTCAACGAGGACAAGCTCAAACCTTCTTTCAAAGAACACAGTCGCCTCCTTCTGAATCGAGTAGTTTTGAAGAAGATAGGGCATTTCGAATGAAAAGGCCGTTGTTTGTTCAAAGATCTTCCAATCCATCCGTGTTTGATGAAAAGAGTGGAATGCTTCGACCAAATTTGAGTAAGATACAAAAATCTTCAAACTATTCGAAACGACGTTCAACTTCGCCCAAGTCAGACGATGAAGACAAGAAGAAGTACAATACAGGTACATGGTCCAAGTATGAGCATGACATGTTTTTGAAAGGTCTTGATGAGGTTGGCAAGAATTGGAAGATTATTTCTGAGAGCTATGTGACGACAAGAAAAAGAACTCAAATTGCTTCACATGCTCAAAAATACTTTTTGAAGATGGCCCAAATGAAGAAGGGCGAAACTGTTTCCCCATACGATTTGTATTTAGAATAAAGAGTTAAAACTATTAAAATTTCTTGTCGAATTTGAGAGTAGTATTTTGTTAGTATTAGTATTTTGTTTATTGAACCATTTCATTCATTACATTTCGATCATTTGAAGTATGTAATCTCTCTCATTTGCTGTTGAAGATCAACACAGCGCACAAAGAACTTGTACTCGTTGGTCAAAACAAAGCGTGAGAAGGTGTCACTCAGGTTGGTCATAATCTCTTGTTTCAAATTGTCCAACATTTCTTCGACACTCTTAGACAATGCAGAGAATTGTTGGCCATCGTTTGAGACCATAGGATCCATTGAGAAGTGAGTGTTTCCTGCCTTGTTCAATCCAAAATGATTACAATCATCAATAATGTGTTGCAGAGAGGCTGCTTCAGAACCTTTAGCCATCATGAGTACCTTCTTATACACATCCACAAAGTTGTTTTTACATTTGGAAGGAATGTTCACTTCTGCCAAAGCATACGACTTGATGTACTTGTTATACAAATGGGACAAGAATAATGTAATGTCACTAATATTGCCCATGCTCACAATCTTCTTATTCTCCATAATATCAAAGTAAATGTAAAAGTTTTCAGATGCCAATTCCTTAATAGCTTGTTTTTCAAACAATGCCTTTCCCTCTTCATGAACAAGAACGAGTTGCAATTCTTCATTGACTTCATCATCATCTGCATTATTTGTGGATTGGTTCTTTGATTGCTTTTCTGCATTCTTTCGACTCTTCTTATAATTGACAGCAATTAATAATGCAAATCCTCCAAACACAAACAAATACGTCACAGCATAGAGAATTTCAAATATAAAAGTAATCGTATCCAAAACCACCACAGGATTGAAAAGTATCGCAAATACATCTCGATTCGTTCTCATACTCAGAGTGGAGAGACCAATCGCTTGATTCACAATCAGAAACACAAAACTCAACACATAGAGCATCATTTCAATTCTAAAATACAGAGGACCATCCAATGTGACAAACCAATCGTGAATTCTCTTCAATGGAGATTCCTTTTTCTTGTTCTCTGAAGAAGAAGTAGTACTTGTCACATCGATGTGTACACTACTTGCATTGTTGTGAGGAGAAGTATTTTTCTTCTTGTTCTTACTAGTGGAACGATAGTTCGATAACATCCAATCGAAAAGAGAAACCAATGAAATGAGAGCTCCCAAACTCAATGAAACAAATGCATAACTCACAGCAACAATGTAAGTAAAAGTATCTGCATCAATTTGATTGCTTCTTCTTAATGCAACCCAAAGAGTCCAATAACACACATTGACAAGTGCGAATACGATGAGAATGGTTGCAAATACTCCATTCGATGTGAAAAATCTCAAAATTTTCAATCGTCGATCCATATCTTGTTCTTTTCCTTTTCGAATGATGTGTAAAAGTTTGTGAAGATATTTCATGAGTTGATATCGACACACTTGAATCAAATAAGCAAGAATGGCAGTTAAATTCAAAGTATTGACAAGAATGGTCACAATATTGGAAATGACATTGGCAGCAAAGTCAAAATCATTTCTTCTGCTTTCACTCGAATCATAAATTCCAGCAAGTAAGACACTTCTATGAATGGCAAAGGCAATAGCACTTTCAATCATGAGAGCAATATTTCCCAAATAAGGTGTCACTAATCGACTCGCGACAGGTTGTTCTTTTCTGTATAAAATTAAAATCAATAAAATGCAAGAGCTTAAAAGGAACATGATAAATCCAAACACAGCTTGAGAATAATACAAGACCACAGTCGTGTCAAAGATATAATCTTGTGAAAGGATCACTTGTGTGGAGTTTCTTTCCAAAAATGTCGAAAACATGGTCGTGTGATTACAGGAACATTGAATCGATTCCATACCACCCAATAACAAACATCCAGAATCACTCCACATTGCTTTCTGATCATCCCAATATCTGCATGAAAGAATATTTTGAGAAGAATTTTGAGAAGAAATGGTCACTTGGGTGGTTGGGAAGTTCAAAATGAGTGGTTGTTCTAAATCTTGAAGAATGAGTACTTCATCATTGAGGTAGAATCGAACATCATTAATATTGGAAAGTATGGTTCTGTTTTGAGTGTTTAAATAGAGATCAGAAAGAATGAAATTGTCTGTGAATGCAATCAATGAAATTCCAATATCTTTTGAAAATGCATTGTACTTGTTCAAGAGATAGGAAACATTGAATCGAAGTATTTCGAGACCATTCACTGTTAAGGTATTCCATCCATCAAAGGAAATGTCACCATTGTATCTAAATTTGGAAATGATCATGTTAAAACCTGAAGATGCATAAACCTTTGTAGGAATTTCACGAGTCTTCAAAACAACAGCTTCTTCTCCTAATATAAGCATGGAAGCCATCTGTTCAATAGCACCAATCGTAGTTTGTGATGCAACACTTGAGGCAAGCATGTTCGAAGCAATGCTCAGTGTGGTCAAGACATTGGTTTCTGAAAGTTTAGAACTCACTCTTCCAAATAAGGATCTTTCACTTCTGTATACTGTGGTGGTGGAGTTGACAAAATCAATTAACTTGTTAGTCAATGAGGAAACAATGTCTTTGGTCAGTAAAGTTTGATTGCTGGAAAGATAGATTAATTGAGCCAATCCCTGAAGTGGATCTTTGACATCAATGATGATATTCTTTGCAATTTGAGAAATGATTTTTGTTTGCTCCAAAGGATTGAGTACAGTGAAGGAACGATCAAATGAAGCAATGGTAGAATTCGCTGTTTTTTGTAACAACTCGACGGCACTTCCAACAAATTTTTGAACTTGTGCCAATGGTTGAGAAATGGCAACTGATTCAATCGTTCCAAGATTATCCATCACAAACACGACTGGCTTAAACAATCCACTCGTGACATTGTTTTTCAAAAATGGTAATATCGTAGAAATGGTCGTTGAGGTTGTGAAATCGGTCAATCGAATTTCTTTTTGCAAATGTTCATCAATAAATCCAAGCGCATACTTGAGTGGTAAAAGTGCTGAATCTGCTTTCCATGGTGTGAATTGAATATTGAACGAATCTGTCAATGCCACACCTTGTGCTGGAATGATGGAAATTAAAGAATTAATATTCGTGGTGGGTGGATTTGAAGGTTGTAATACTGGAATGGTGATCGATTGGACTGAAATAGTGTCTAACAAACAGTTAAAGTTAAAATTCAACACAAAGGCAGTTGTGTTTGGTTTCACTTGGACTGTTTCTGTAATTCGAATGAGACCTTCAAATGTCACACTATTGTTAAGACTCAGTGATATTGGACTTTGTCCAAACTTGGAAACAATCGTTGTGTAAGTCGATCCTGTTTGTTCAATAAGAGTCCAATCAAACACAAGAGGAAGAGCACATGACAAGGATGTGAAATTTAGACCTGTAATGGCAGAGTTCAGATCCAAAGTGGTCAATGCTTGATTTTTGGCTCTGACAATAAACTTTGGAAGTCCAAGCTCAATAAGTGTAGGACCTACGATTGGGCGAGTGTTGTTGTTTGGAAGAGGTGGAAGGATAGGATCAATGGTACAATTCACAAGACACACCAAATTCACATCCTTGACAAGTGTCAAATTAAAAGTCACAAGATTGGAGAGTCGACTTGGATACAACAATCCATTAAAGAAGGAAGCATTGGCTTTGAAAATATAACTGCCAGGATAAGAGAGAAGACTTGGGTTAATGGTCAGCATCTTGACGTTTTTTCCTCCAACAAAAACAGCATCATTGCCACAATTTTCACATTCCCATCCAAAGTTCAAGTTTGGACTGAGTGAAATGGAGGGAAGAATGGAAACAGAGAAGGATGTTTCATTCCATAGAACAAATGCTTGTGATGTTGACAATGAGATGGTGAATGGACGGATATCAATACTACAGTTTGGTGAAGTAAACCCATTTAAACAAAGACAACTGTCCGTATTGCCACAAAGTCCATTTCCATTACAAACGAGAGAGTTATTACTCAATAATCCAAAACATTTTCTCAGATCGCAATTAATACCAAAGAAATTATTGTCACAAATGCATGTATCAGGAGCTGCACAGGTACCATGTCCTCCGCAGACAAGACCTGTCAAATTTGACAAAATTCCATTGCATGCCATGTGTTCACATTGATCTCCAATATAACCTGGTAAACATAGACATTTGTCTGGGCCCACGCAAACACCGTGGCCACTGCAAACATTGCTTGCATTGTGTAATTGACCAAAACATTGGAAGAGGTCACAAACTGGTCCAAAGAATCCAGAATCACACAAACAACTGTCTGGTCCATTACAAAGACCCTTTCCAGAGCAAACGAGTGAGTTATTACTCAATAATCCAAAACATTGTCTCAGATCACAATTAATACCAAGAAAGTTATTGTCACAAATGCATGTATCAGGAGCTGCACAGGTACCATGTCCTCCGCAGACAAGACCTGTCAAATTTGACAAAATTCCATTGCATGCCATGTGTTCACATTGATCTCCAATATATCCAGGTTTACAGAGACAAGTATTTGGACCCAAGCAAACTCCATTACCACTACAAACATCACTAGCGTTGTGTAATTTACCAAAACATTGGAAGAGATCACAAACTGGTCCAAAGAATCCAGAATCACACAAACAACTGTCTGGTCCATTACAAAGACCCTTTCCAGAACAAACCAAACTATTGTTCTTGAGTAATCCAAAGCAATTATACAAATCACAGTTCAATCCAAAGTAATTGGAATCACAAATACACTTATCAGGTGCAGTGCATGTTCCATGTGAATTACACACCAAATTGGTAATATTCGAAAGAATTCCATGACAACTGAAAAGATTACACTCCTCACCAGAATAACCAGTCAGACACGAACACAAGTTTGGAGCAATACAAGAACCTTTCTGACTGCACACATTGGTACTATTCGCAAGCTTTCCTGCACAACTAAATAAATCACAAACTGGTCCAAAGAATCCTGAATTGCATGAACATGAATTAGGTCCATTACAAATACCATTTCCAGAACAAGCCAAAGGACTCAGGGCAGAAATTCCATTACACAAAAAGGTTTCACAAAGTTGACCAGTGAATCCAGAGTTACACAAACATGTATTTGGAGCACTGCATGTACCATTTCCTGAACAAACACCCAATGCATTGGATAAGAATCCACCACAGAAAGGATTTGTACAGAAAGGTCCTCCATATTGAATGTTGTCTGAAGTGGAAGGAGAAGAAGAACCAGTAGGAGTGTTCCACATCACCTTACCATTGGAATCGTACTGTGTTGTCGTTTGTGGAGTTTTTGTGGAGTTTTTGTGGGTTATTGTGTTTGGAGCAAGTTTCGAGCAAGTTGTTGTTGTTGTTGTTGTATTGATCAATCGAGAAAGACACACCAGCACGTTCGTTTTTCACATGCATGAATGAATCCAATTTAATTCAAAATATATCAAACATCATCATCACCACCTTATCGTTACTACTGCCATGATGACTAACAAAGACACCACTACTTACCAAAACTAATTTTCCATCATTCTGCATGATCAACCGATAGGGAGCCAAATAACCATTCAACAAATTACCCACCAAGTCCAATAAAAGTGATAAAGGTACATTCAAAATAGAGTTGACAGCCAAACCCGTCGAAGAGAGATCCAAATAATTGCCACTCCCACCCGTGTTGGATTGCCACAAACTTGCTCCAAACACAATAAAGTTACCATTCGTTCCCATCTCAGCCCTGTAGAGTCCATTACTTGAGAGGAGCGATTGACCAGCCAATAATCTTCCTGGCGAGATCAAGGTATTGCTCGAAGACATGTCTTTACAGAGACAGGAATTGGGACCCACGCAGAGACCTCGTCCTCCACAGACAGAAGTACTTGTACTCGCAATGCCATTGCAATAGTTTGGAGTGGCGAGGAGATGGGCATGAGTGGTGGTGATGATGATTTCTCGGAAAGTGGTGCTCATACAGAAGAGAAAAGCAAGAGTGAGAAGAAGGAGACAAGATGAAATCGAGGGTCGATGGTGATGAGGAGACTTCTTATTGCGGTGTTTCATGGTCATCGTTGTCGTCGTCGTCATCGACTGTTTGTATACAAGTCCATCGGAGGAGAAAGAGCAGAGAGAAGGTCGGGAGGTGCTGTTGTTGATGTTTCTGCTGCTGACACGACCAATTATGGTGCTGCTGTTTGTCATCCTCTCGTTTCGTTTGGGGTTTGCCGAGAGATTGAGTTGTTGTTGTTGTTTGAGTTTTTTCTGGAGAGAGAGGTGCTTCACCACCAACACCTTCGCAATTATCAATGATCAGTTGCGATCATTGAAAAGTAACTAGATGATGCCCCAAAGGACAGAACTTGGAAGTAACAAGTGACAAAATCCTCGCTCTGTATAAAAAAGAAGTCTTGAAAGGAAAGAGAATCCATCGTGAGAAATTGAACACGGACCCCGTGATGCAACTTTGGCAGTGGTCAGGTTATTTTGAATTCAAATGCTCTCACGTGAGGTCACATGTCATTCACAATTCGCTTTTCAAGAAGGTTCCATTAAAGTGGATGGTATCTTTATAAAGGGCGAAAAAGGCTTGGTTTTAATATGGTTGTGATTAGTAGCTTATGAGAGACATAGCCTTTTGGTGTTCTGAACTTGGTCAATTTTAGAAGTAGACAAAAACCAATTTGAGAATTAATTACAACAATAAGGTTGCGACATAACAGGTGTGGACATTCAGAAATTGATTCTGTACAAAATTTAATCTATGTTTGATTCACACTCCACTCTACAATTTGTCAACCTCAATTGAGAAAGCAATGGAAAATTCCTAAAGCCCGACCATGAAATAAGGAGAATTTTGAAAAGATTTGGTAACAATTATCATCAGTGTCATTGGTTTTAAAAATGGACAAGAGTTGTTAAGTACTCACAATGATCATCAATTAATAATAGAAACGACGAGACTTTTCCTTTTCAATTTTTCTCTGCTCTTCAAAGAGTGAATTCTTTTCGAAAAAGTATTCGTGACACACAAAGGTGTAAATCAAACTCAATGTAACCAGATCCAAAGCATTCCACCCACGTGTGGAGTTACAGAAACACATGTACAACCATTGGATCTTCTTTCTCAATTCGATGGTAACAATTCATGATTTTCTGGAGTCCATTCGAAACCATTCTTGATCAATGAAAGAAAAGGTTCTTGTTGTTTTGTCAATTCCAAACATGTCGTGTTCTGTTCATCCTCTCTATATGGAATTCTCGTGTCAGCTCCATGTGCAAGCAATAGCTTGACAAGTCGTTCATTCTTGTTCATAAGGGCCATATGTAAGGCAGTTGAAAAGGTCCACACGTTTTTAGTGCTTGGCACATATCGATCACTTCGAGGATCATTGGCTTCATAATCATCTTCTGAAACTCCAACTCTTTCCACTGAAACATGTTCCACATGACGTTTTTGAGTATTC